TTGTCATTCAAATGAATGAGGTTTTGACGAAGGATGGAAGTGATTCGTATAATTTAATTTTTTTTTCTTTCTTTTCCGGCTTTGGTTCAAATAGCTAGATCTATTGATCTAGACTGAATACTTTCAGGCCATCGAATGGAATGGAATAGCGTAGGATCCACATTGTAAAGATGCCCTATTTTCAGCTTTTCTACAGGCTGGAGTTGTTGTTTGAACCATTTAGTTTATCAATTTAATTTATCTGTATAACAATTATTCACGAGCATTCTTCCAGGTTGATTCAAGAATAGTTTGATGATGGTAAATTTTCCTAATGTTCACATTACAGTTATGACGCGGTCCTGTCAGACTCTCCGCGCATCAGACTGTTATTTTTCAGTAATTCCACATAATTGTGATTTCATATCTTCTTTCTTCAGGATGGATGTTTAAGATACACATACTTTGCTAGCTGACAAAATGGGGTCATTGCTGTATAATTATTCTCTTTTTTCAGCCTTCATTCAGACTGGATCTATTGATTTAAATTATTTAAGTTTTCTTCCAGCTCTTCGATAACGGAACATCATTAGATTTATGCTGTAATGATTCACTCTTACAACTTTCACCCTGGTTTTGTCTGTTGATTTGATTTGTTTGAATTGGTTTTCTGCTCTTTGGTGTTGGCAGTTGCTGGCGGTCAATTTTGCTCATGCTCATGCTCTATGTATATTTTCAGCTTTTCGATGATGGAAAGTCTTCAGATTTATATTATAATGATCCACCATTTTGTTTAGGCTTCAGGCAAATCCAAGCATAATGCATAATAACACTGATTCATTTAAAACCATGGTCGTATCACTTATCAAGGTGAATTCTGATCTAACGAACCCAACTTACTAACAAAATCTCCTTACCTGTGTCGTTTGTTGGGGTGCAGAGGTAAACACGGCCCACAAACAACAAAGGTCACTCTAATATTCCTTCCCTACTCCCACCTTATTGCAAGGACGTGGCCGGCGCCGTTATTTATCTACAAAATATGGAGTCACTGAAACTTGTGCAATGAGAATGGACGGTCACTCCCAGTCCCATTCAGTTGATTCATCATTCAGCAACCATTTATATGTGCAGTCAGTCTAAGCTAAGCTAAGCTACGCTAAAATGAATGAGATTTTGCGAAGGTTACTTTGAGGATCAAGTCTGTCAGTGACTATGTGAAAAACAATATTGTCAATATCGTATGGATGACAAATCTCAGCACTGGCTATCTACTACTAAACGTTCAATTTACAGTGTACTAGTCACCTTTCGTGTCTAGTTTCGGTAAAAATCGTGTCTTAGGGATAATAGAAGAGTGAACCATATTGTTAATTTTAATATTTGCTTATAGATAAATCTTTATACGCAAAACAAATTGCATAAACATTAAATGTAAGGGTCGATTTCTCTGCATTCCGCTGCAATTTCAATTCTTGCAATGGACTGTAGCGTACAAGCAATTTATTTCAGAACGAATACTTTCGTATTGAACCTTCACAAGATGATTTTCTAGCCTCAGTGATTTGGGAGAAATAAATTTAGCTAACATAAAAATTACAAACAAAAATTAACAAACCTTCCGACTACATTGTTCATAAGGTGAAGCATTACGAATTCTGCATAGTTTGAATGCAAATATGTTATAGAATCTTATATTTTCCAGTTGAATGCGGCTTAATTTATTGGCGTTTCATCCATAAATTTCTAATTGCACTGATATTGGGTGTCACGCACAACGTATCAAAAAGACTGACAACTCTGAAGCTTTAATATACAAATGCTGATAGACAAGCATAATCTCAATATCTATCACTAAATTCTTAAAGCTTAAATCGAACGAACGAAGAGGTTGGGTATTTGTTCTTTTTTTTTCCTACACGGCCACTGATACTAGCTCAGTGAGAGAGCCATTTTTGAAAGAGATATTTAGGAAGGTTGCGCAGCGCTGACTACCATAAGGTTTTAGAAATTTCATTTTCATCTGAGTAGAAATGACGCTCTCTCTCTCTCTCTGAGATAGTCTCATCGACCATGTGACGTCGAGCACATCCCAACAAACAATTTTAGCTGATTAGAAGCTGAATGAACTATTTATTGCCTGAATAAGTTTTAATCCAGCTTTCTGTTTGTTGGGATGATGGGACAGCCAACTTTGGAGCATGCTCAATGATTTCTTCGATATTCGAAGACACTGTTCGTTTGCATACAAAAATTAACTATTCTCCATTGTCATCGGCTAAACTGAAATCCTGTGACGAGGATGAATATGATTATGTATATATGTGATTGAAAGTATCTATAGTTCATGGTAAAAACATTAGCATAGTGTAATAATATCATACTTATGCCGCGGATACACTTGGATGACAAACTATGAGCATGAGCATGATTTGTATAATAATTAGAATTACTATACAACAACTATACAAGTGTGACCATGGATGTGCTCATAATTTATTATACAAATAATGCTTATGTTCATAGTTTGCCATACAAGTGTATCCGCGGCATTAGAATAATAATAATTCATAATAAGTCAGTTAGGACTGGTTTAGCTGATCATCTTCTTCAAAGAATTTCGACATAATAATATGAGAAGACGGTGTTGGCTTTTCTGTACCACCAAATTACAGTGACCGGCACAAAAAAAGATTCACCCTCAATAAATGTAAACATTTAAACAAAAAATATTACCGTAAAATAAAAACCAGAGGTTAATTTGGCCTTAATAGTATTAATGCAATACTAATAAGTAAGTCATTGCAAAATTTCAAATAAATAAAATTTATGTTAACTAGTATTTTAGTTGGCGTGACGTAAAAAAAGATCCACTTTATATTAAATCCAAACGAAAACAAATGACTAATAGTCTATGTGGCCTCCCTTCGCTTCGATGACAAACTGCAACAGCTTTGACATGCTTTCCACCATGTGTTTGAGGTGCTGAGGATCCAAATCATCCCAGGCCTTTTGCAGTGCTGCAAAATATGTTTGCTTGTTACTAACACCGGTTTTCTCCACACAATTATCGAGGATAGCCCAAAGATTTTTGATTGGGTTCAAATTGGGACTCTGGGGGTGGCCATTCCATGGGCTCTATGCAACAGGACTGGAAAAAAAGTAAGTGTTTTATTTGCCGTGTGATTGGGATCGTAATTCTGCTGAAACGACTCTTCCAAATTTTCACAAAGAATATCGATATACCCGGTCATTTTACCATGGATTTGGGTCAGATTCCATACAGCAAACCACGAGAAACAACTCCAAACCATAACATTTCCTACGCCGTTTTGCATGGTTGGTTGGAGATACCTATCCTGTAGTGCTTCGTCGCTTTTCCGTCATACTCTTACACGTCGTTTCTTGTTGAATTTTTAGAGATGAACTAGCCAATGGCTAAAAATCTCTTAAATAAAGATTTTAAAAAAAGTTTCTTGTTGAAAGCTCGAACTTTGAATAATCCGACACGACAACACGTTTCCAGAACTCCTGCGGCTTGTTAATGTGATTTCTTGAGAAGATCAGCAGTTTTTTTTTTCTTGTTGGCCTTGCTGATAAATGGTAGCTTCCGAGCAAAATGGCTCTTCAAAGCATGTTCAGCAATGCGTTATCGAATGGTTCGATAAGAAATCGACAAATTTAGCCTTTCTTTCACTCTTTTTGACGTAGGACTACGTCTGTGATTTCTATTTGGAGGTACACTTTGTGACAACCGAAAATGGAACATGTAACAAAATTATGAAAGATTTTGAACGTTAATAACTCAGCTGCCCCTTGACCAATTTCAATAAATTTATCGTCAGTCGATCATAAATATTCTAACGCAACTGCATCTATCATTTTTTCAAAATAATAATATTGAAAATTGCACGAATGTGCAACTGTTGCTATGATAATTAAAATTATCACCGATTGCCTGCGAAAAGCGATTTCCCTAACACAGATTTCAAAGTTGAATTCCATTCGGTCTCATCAAACGGTGTTTATTAAATCACCACATTGTGAGTGGTGGTGTTCCAGTACACAACGAAAGGCTCCCCGCAAGCAGCTAGCTATCAAGGCTGGTCTAAACCGCTGATCGGTTTCAGTGCTTTCGTTGCCTGACGTTGAACATTGTTCTCCAGTACACAACGAAAGGTTGCCTGCAAGCAGCGGGCTGCAGCACACATAAGCATCCATAGAAAGAGGATGAAGCCGCACCGCTATTGATCGGAATCAGTATCTCTTCGTAAGTCGCTGTGGGCCATGTACGTCAAGCGCTTCAAATTCCTATTCCTAAACAAAACACATGCTCCTGCTGCAGTTAACAAATAAGATTTCTTATATAAGACTACGTAGTCCTACGTCACCATTGCGGTTTTTAATCTCACGGATTATCCTGGTGTCTGTTCGAGAATCAGTTGTTCGTTTTTGTCCTCTTCCAGATTGATCAGCAACTCTTCCAAGCAATTGATGCTTCAAATAGATCTTCTGAACTGCATCACGGCTATTTTGCGTAGCGATTCGTTGGCAAAGTGGTATGATTTGATATGATAAATAGGCATTTATAGGCGTTTAACTTATATTTGAGTGGGTGGATCTTTTTTGTGCCAGTCACTGTAAGTATAGAATAAATCTTGGTATGTAGACCCCTAAAAGCGTTCAATCGTAAACAAATTATTTGTGTTTTTTGCACTAGTAAGATTTCTGCACCATTTACAACTTCTTCCCTCCCTAACTAATTTAGTACCTACCCGTTAATGTTTACAATTCACTCAACTTCCCTGCACGTTACTTGAACCACTCACCTTCAAAGCACATCTTTGCATGTCATCACCGCGCAATTACAACTCTTGAATCACGACAAAAACTCAACGCACCGTCACTCTAAGTAGAATGAAATGTGTAGAGGTCAATTGCCTCGCATATCCATTAAGAACTTTGTACGTCACTAGCGTGTACCTAATAGTAGCTAATTCTACCCATTCTCGCAATTTCAGATCTACCCATGATCGAAGGCCAAACCGAGCCGGCTAGTCCGAGCGATACGCATTTTGAACTACGCAAGATGCTCCAGAAGATCCTGGATGAGGTCACCAAGTTACCAGAACTGTTTAATCAAAGCGGTCTTCCATTGCGACCGGAGGAGCATCTGCCGTATTTCAGCCCCAAGAAGTACGAGCAGCTGCTGGCGAACGCTGTGCTCAATAAGGTAGGTTCGTTTTTTAGCTTGATTCAATTATCATTATGGTTCATTGGAGTGAGTTTTTTTTTATTTTAAATGGGTCATTGGGCTACAGAAGCCGAATGTGGAAGGTGGGAGTTGATAATTCCATTCACGAGCGTATATGGATAGAAGCAAACTGAACGAATATCCCTTGACCATTGGCATGTTTGTTCGGGTTAAGCGTGTGGAAAGGTACCGATAAGTCGTGGTTAGCCGTAATTGTTATGGGGTGTCAATTTCGTAATCGCTTACATTTGAAACTGTTCCGTACATGTATGATGGTTTTCCGGTGTTACGCGACGAAGAAAACGTGACAGGCACCCTATTGCAGTGGAAGTTGAAAATGATTGATTTTCTTCGAATGCGCACGTGAACGCATTTAAAATAATCCTTTTCCGTGAAGGTTTCGGTGTCAAGAGCGGACAAAACATAGAAATACATAGCAAATCATCACAAGTGGTTGACAAAATGAACAATTAAATGCATTTGTATGACTATGTAGGTACTCATGTTTCCTATGTAGGTATTTATGTTTTCAACGGTAAATCTTCACGCATTTTTTTATTTGACGTTGGACCGGTTTGATCACAAATTTAAGTGTCGACAATTTTATAAAAATAAATCTTTGGCTTCTACATCAGGGGTTATCATTTTTTAGAAATTAGTTTGTATACAATAGCCCTTTTTAAATGGTAGTCTAAATCATATTTTTTTTATTTCATGGAAAAAGGGCATGCACAGTTTCTTAAACCCACAAAGCTTCATTGGATTCTTAAGTTGGATGAAATAGTTTAAGGATAGAGAGAAGGATTAGATCAATTTAATTCCACTACCTTAACACTCCGAACACGATGCCTCCGGTAAAATGTGTAAAGGCAAACTTGCAATGTTTGAAAAATCATAGCTCAGCCATTTATTCACAAATTTAAAATTTATTGGCACCATTTGAAACTTCATGCTTTAAGATTTATTCAGAATCAATTGATTTATAATCGGTTGATAAATTACTGAGCTATGGTTTTTCAAACATTGCCAATTTTCCGTTACACATTTTGTCGGAGGCATCGTGTTCGGAGTGTTAATTTGCTACGCACCAACAATTTGCAAACTTCTTCAGCGTCTTCTGTTTCTTTACTTAGGTATTCCACTATAGACGCCAACGTTCATCAGGATAAAATAGTTGTTATTTGAAATTCCTTTCGGAAAGTGCGCTTGTAGATAGTAAATTGCACTTGAAAAAAAATTCTAAGTGTTTAAAATCTTTTTTTTTTTATTTTAGATACGCGCTGTAAAAATCTAATTGTTATCCCATTTAGATTAAACTGGTTCAAAATTAATCGGTTCTATGTACTAGGGGAGTGCAGGATACATGACTGAGTGTTTGGCCCTAGTGGCAGGCATGGAAAATCATTTACATTCATTTCATACATTCATTTACATTCATTTGCCTCTAACTTTTTTCATCAACAGCATTTCGCTAAATGATGTATATAGCTTTTGTAGGTTTTGTTATAAGCTACAACTTTTGCTCAAAATTCAAATCAGTATCTCTTATGCAACACGAACTAGAGCGGGAAGAACTTGTTACTGTTTTTCAGTGAATGTAAAATGCATTCACTGGAAAACAGTAGTGGCTTCTGTTCGCTCTGGTTCGTCATGCATCAGAGATACGGATTTGACTTGTTAACAAAAATTGTAGCTAATAACAAAACCTACAAAAGCCAAATACATTATTTTGCGGAATGCTGTTGATGAAAAAAGTTAGAGGCAAATGAATGAAAATGAATGCACGAAATGAATGCAAATGATTTTCCATGCCTGCCTAGTGGTCGTCATATTGGTACTATGTATTACAAAAAGGAACCTTATCAGACTATTAACGGACGTGGGGTATTTTTTCGAAGAGGGACTAGATGCCACTTTGGAATTCAAGATGGTGGCCATCGGTTTTAGAAATACTATCAAATAGCGAACAATATGGGTAGTTTCGGAAAAAAAAACTTTCAAATCCTATAATATGTGTATGTTCAGATCGAGACGTGCAAAGATAAAAATTCTATGTTCGCAATCAATTTGGATCCCAATTTGGCAGCCGCCTGTTTTATAGAAAAAAAAACTGTCAAATACCCTACAATATGGGTGTTTCCGCCGTCATTGTGGAATTAAAAAAATCCTTACTATATAATAAAGTCCCCATTCTGAAAATACTCATATTGCAGGGGATTCGTAATTTTTTCTCAAACCGATGGCCTCCACATTGGATTCCAAAATGGGCATATTCGACTACTACACGCAGGCATGGAAAATACATTCATTTACATTCATTTGCCTCTAACTTTTTTCATCAACAGCATTTCGCAAAATGATGTATAGAGCTTTTGAAGGTTTTGTTATAAACTACAATTTTTGGTCATAACTCAAATCTGTATCTCTTATGCATCACGAATTAGAGCGGGCAGAACTTGTCACTGTTTTTCAGTGAATGTAAAATACATTCACTGAAAAACAGTAGTGGCTTCTGTTCGCTCTGGTTCGTCATGCATGAGAGATACGAATTTGACTTGTTAACAAAAGTTGTAGCTAATAACAAAACCTACAAAAACTTTAAACATCATTTTGCGGAATGCTGTTTAAGAAGAAGATAGAGGCAAATTAATGTAAATGAATGCACGAAATGAATGCACGTAGTCCCCGTTCGGATAGCACCCATATTGCAGGGTATACGACATTTTTTCTAAAACCTTTTCACTTATTAAAAATTATGATAAAAGTTCGTATTCATTTTGGTGTCTTCGGTGCACTTATTTCTTATTGTGCAAGCAATAAGTGCTCCGAAGACACCAACATGATTGAACCGTAACATGCACTTCTATCACACATTTTGAATTTTTGGAGCAGTCTAGTTTCAGATGCAATAAGCAATATTTTCTAACTTTACACGTCGTCCCCGTTCTGAACAGACCCATATTGTAGGATTTGACAGCTTTTTTTTCAATTATCGATGGCCGCGATTCGTAATTGTGTGTCGTATTGTAAGGAGCTCGTTTTCCTGGTGGCAAACCTTTTTGCTTACTGAGCACAAACCGTGGGTTCAACCCCAAGCTTTCAGCAAAACGAATCCTGCTGTAAACTCAACTATTTTATATAACACCCCAGTGATTTCTCCTGTATGTGCAGAGGATTTCTTGGCTTGCAACATAGCTGGTATCACGTCAACACATTCCTACCCATTCTTTTCTTGACCTGCGTTCGTTCGCGGTTGGCACTGATATTGCCTAGTTTGAGATCACCTGTTTTTATACATTAAGGATGAAAGCTAGTCCCAAGCATCGTCTATTGGTTCTCTGTATAATTGCAGCTGGTTTGGCAATAACAGAGTAGCAAACCGTGGGTGATTATTTATGCTAATCAAAAGTTCAACAAAAAAGTGCTACAACGTTCCAAGAAAAAAAAAATTAGTAACTGTTACAGTGTTTTTTTTTTACGGTTCTGATAATTTTATGTGCTGAAAAAATGAATCACTAAAAATTTATGATCGATAAACTAAATTTTAGGGAATTACCATAAAAAATGCTTCATAACTCGGAAAATACTCGACTTAGAATTTTGGATCTTCCATCAAAGTGGCTATTTTTTTTTTAATTTAGCAACTTTTACTGAAGCCATGATTCCCCTATACATACCTTCAAAGATTAAAATTTGTTTTTTCATTGTTATCATCGTAAGACATGACTAATTTTTGTTACTTTCAAATAGTGGAGGATGATTCTGCAAACAAATCTTCAGAAAATACTTTATGGATAAAATGAAACGGTCAAGATCTAGGAAAAAAGTTCCTCATTGGTATTGAAATGAAAGGTATTGTGGTCTCATAATATACTATTATTTATTTATTTTTTCAATCCGTCAACCGGTTCGGGAGATATGGCTGGAACATGTTCCGGTCAATACGGGTTACTAACAAAAATTGAATGTTGAATAAGAGCAAAATCAGGCTTGAATTTGCGTTTTTAGCTAAAAATTGCTGATTCAGCTTTTAATTAGCTCATATTGTTTGATTAGATGTGAGTTTATAATTAGCCTGAAACTTGTTAAACCCATCAAGTGGCATCTCAAATGACATGATAATTCAAAAAGATCAATAGTGGCCATGTTGAGTGTTCTGCGGAAGTGACCAGTATCTAACTTGTGTCAAAACCCATAATACGACGTCTTAAATCACATGATAAATGTTGTGCATTGTGGTTAAATCAAGTGCCCAGAACCACACTGGACACAACCGAATATGTTCTTCCTGGTCTGCCATGAGCTATTGTTAAGATCAATCAAGCGCTTTGGAATTACGAGTACTGCATATAAATGGTTTGAAAGCTATTTGTCTGACAGAACTTAACAGACTGTTTTTAATGATTCTTTTTCCAGTCCCGTGGAGAATAACCTTGGAGTGCCCCAGGGAAATGTATTAGGGCCCCTGTTATTTATTATGTATATTAATGACTTGCGACGTGTTTTACGATTTTGCGACATTAATCTTTTTGCAGATGATACTGTGTTATTCATTGCAGCTAAGGATTTAGATGATGCCGTTTTACACTTGAATGAAGATTTGCGTTCTCTAAGTAGATGGTTGAAGTATAATCAGTACCCGTAACGTGGGTAGATCACCTTTTCGTGGTACGTTACGGGATGTAAGATGTACCACCGATTCCTAGTCCTGATTACTTCAAACTAGGGGAACAGGATTTTTCAGTAATCCAAGGAACACATCTTAGTCCTTATTACTTTTTATGCCTTGTTGATAGTGACAAGACTCGGCTTTGTGCACGGAGGATGATCTTAAAACAAGGAAAAAAATAAGTTAGTTGTCTTCAGATGAACTACTTCAAACTAGGGAACAACGAATAGAAGATTAGAAATCACATAGATATGTGATTCCTAATCTTCTATTCGTTGTTCCCTAGTTTGAAGTAGTTAAGACTAGGGTTCTGATGCATGGTGATTATCGGTGTCATACCTTAATTTTGTTGTTAAGGAATCCAATTTTGACTGACAAAGGAGCGCGCCTTTGGAGGGTGTTTCAACACTCCGAAGGGTATAAATAGCGGGACCTTTCAATTAGAGTCGGATCCTTGCGATAAATGCAAGAGTGGCAACTGTAAAAAAATCGAATACTTCATCATTTCTCAATAATGATGGAGTAATACGACATGCACTAAACTAAGGACATTGGATATACTACAATAGGTCAATTTACTGGTCGCAGTAGTGTTAGGTCCCGAACAGAGGGAAAAAAAATAAATAATCAGTTGAAATCGAATACAAGTAAAACTAAATTTATTGTATTATTGCGAAATCGATTAAATATCTTGGCGAGATTATTGATGACAAACCTAAGTTCAACTCTCACATTGACAATTTCATCAAGAAAATGGCCAAGAAGTATGGAATTCTATGTCGGCTGAAAAACGATTTAACTATTGCCAGTAAAATACAGCTATACATATCAATCACCTCTCTCTTTTGCCCTTCCATTTTATTTCTGGCCAATGAAACACAAATATCGAGATTACAGCACTTGCAGATTAAGATAAGGCGAGTAATAGATTTGAGGTGTAATAGATTCACTCTCTCAACTTTGATGCTAAGCAATTGGTGAAGCAAAGAATTGTACATTTGACTATGGTGCTCATTTTTAAAGCAGGTAACGGTTTGCTGCCTCGATATTTGTGTGGTCGAATTGAAAGAGGAAGGGACTTTCATAGATGAAATACTAGAAACGCGGTTGAAATAAGAACACCGCATATCATTGGGAAATTATGTTACTTCGCATCCCTGAATGCAGACTTGATCAAAATATCAGTCGGAATTTCAAAAGGTAAGATGGGTCAGATCTCACCATAGGTGGATGAATTTAGGTCTTCAATCGATTTGAACTCCAAATGCGAGATCGGAGGTGAATTGTATCTTGAACCGTGTTTGTTCGCCTTAACTTTCCAATAGAAATTGAATTGGCATTTCAAATGTTAGGACGATCCAATGATAAATAATTCCTTTGTTTATAACGAACCTATTTTGGGCTGTCCAGTAGCGTACACAGTATTTTAAGAATTCGTATGCGAAAAATAAAACAGAAAAAAATCTCTCCTAAAACTCTTCATGTTAAAAAATACCTGGTCTCGACTTAGTGTTCTTTTCAACACACATTCACAGCTATTGCATACGAGCTTCCTGATCGTATTATGACTAGGGACTAGGATAAGTGATCCAGTTATTGCACTAATTCTCCAATGTTTGGCCCTGCGGCCTAACTCAAATTTCAAATAAGTTATCATGCTATTATTCGTGTAGATATAATCCTTGCATGGAAACAAATTTGGTAAAGGAAGAAAAAACTCCTGGGCCAAAAACTGGCTCACTTAACCTATGTAAAGGGTTATACGGTCAAAATTTGGTCAATATCAACTTGACGTATTTCTTTCAATTTTGCATTTAAAAAAACCTGAACACCCCTCATTTTGAAGGTGTGTGTGTGTAGAATGTTGCTCCTATTTTGATTTTGGAATTCACTCTTCAGTTGTCAAAATGCCGTCCAAGCAAGAAGAGCAGCGTATCAAAATTCTGCTCGCGCATCGCGAAAATCCGAGCTACTCGCACGCAAAGTTGGCAAAATCGCTAAAAGTTGCCAAATCAACCGTTACAAATGTAATTAAAGTGTTTGGGGAACGTTTGTCGACAGCCAGGAAGTCTGGATCGGGGGGAAATCGAAAACCGGAAGCCGCTGAGACGACAAAGAGAGTTGCCGGTAGTTTCAAGCGAAACCCTAACCTCTCTCTCCGAGATGCCGCAAATAAGCTGGGTGTATCGTCTACAACCGTGCATCGAGCCAAAAAACGAGCCGGACTATCGACTTACAAGAAGGTAGTGACTCCAAATCGCGATGATAAACAAAATACGACGGCCAAAGCGCGATCCCGGAGGCTGTACACGACGATGCTGACGAAGTTTGACTGCGTGGTAATGGACGACGAAACCTACGTCAAAGCCGACTACAAGCAGCTTCCGGGACAGGAGTTTTATACGGCAAAAGGAAGGGGAAAGGTAGCAGATGTTTTCAAGCACATGAAACTGTCAAAGTTCGCAAAGAAATATCTGGTTTGGCAAGCCATCTGTACCTGTGGCTTGAAAAGCAGCATTTTCATAGCTTCCGGGACTGTCAACCAAGAAATTTACGTGAAAGAGTGTTTGAATAAACGTCTGCTGCCTTTCCTGAAGAAACACGGTTGTTCCGTACTGTTTTGGCCGGATTTGGCATCTTGCCATTACGGTAAAAAGGCCATGGAGTGGTACGCCGCCAACAACGTGCAGGTGGTTCCCAAGGACAAGAACCCTCCCAACACGCCAGAGCTCCGCCCAATTGAGAAATACTGGGCTATTGTCAAGCGGAACCTAAAGAAGACCAAAAAAACTGCTAAGGGCGAGCAGCAGTTCAAGGCAAACCAAATTTTGACCGTATCACCCCTTATGTCGCCAGAAACCACACAGCTAAAAAAAAGTAGTGTAAATTTCCGTTACTATGATGCACATAAATGGAGCGTCATATATCATACAAGTTTAGATTATAGATCGTGTAAATTTATGAGACATGTCATGTAATATCCCATATATTGTATGCAACTGTCCACTTTGTTTGCAACATTTCTTGCAAGTTGCTAGTTTACGTGAAAAGGAAGTTTACATGTATGAATGTTTGCATGCATGGATGCTTACATCGCCAGTAAAATTCAAAATTTTTTGGTGTGCATATATCTTGTGCTTTAGAGAAAAAATAGCACTGCAGACCAAATTCATGTTCCATAAAATTACTATGAATAAAATTGCATGGAATATCATGTTCTGCGTATAATTACGCATTGAAAAAGACAGTCGTACACCTTCAGTAGACCCCTCGGTGTGGTTGCAACCGAACGAAACATACAAAAACTGAACTTCTAAGGATTCCATATGACCACATTTGCAACGTCTTCTGCTCACCTATTTCCAGTTTGTTTTCCTTCAGTTCGCATGCGGTTCCTCCCATTCGATTTAAAAAAAAATCGACGACCGTGAGCCATTACCTTCCAGTGGAACGTTTCAGTCCAAATATTACCTCCGTGCCGTTGAAACGTTCATTTCCTCAGTTCCAGACGCGAAAATAGCCTATGAAGTGCGATATTCCTATTTCCCTGTGCTATTTTATCTAAAGATTTTGTTCTGCGATAACAAGGAACACACCACCAGGAGAATTTAATTAACTTGTACCCTAGCGAAACATCACATCAGTGAACCATACTGAATCGAAGAATTCTGTGTCAATACGGTTGAATTGATCATGACCGTGCTGGCCATAGTACTGTGCACCATCTATCTATACTTTGTGTGTGAATATTTTCTCCTAGGTGGTAGAGAACTACCGCAATCCGCAAAACTTTGAACACGTGGAGCAGCAGCCAACGAAGCAGCAACCGGAAGTGGACAAAGCTGGCCCTCCGACGACCGGAGCGACATCGGCGGGTTCAGCACCGGCCACCGGAACTACCTTCGACATCAATCATAACAAAGTTCCTGGTAAGTGTGTGGGAAAGCTTTTTCCCAAATCAATTACACTGGCAATTGTTGTCCTCCTCTGTTGAAATGTGTCCTGTTCAAATATGTTTAAAGTGTAAAAATGTTCCATATTAATGTGATAAGTTGCAAAAGTTTCGTAGGTTCAATAGGAATAATTATTTAGAATTGCATGAATCTTATACTAACAAACACTGATCTGTAGACACCCGACAAAGAGTTTACCGATTTCATCGAACGCATGTAAGATACCAGATTCTACGTTCTAGCACCATTTGGATCAGAGGTAATCAAACCAATTTTATTAGTTGTGCAAAGGTGTGATACGCTTACAGATTGATGGTTTGCAGTGGATAAATTTTGAGGCCTTTTGAGAGCTTTGTATATATTCTCGGTTTAAAATTGATTGAAAGGAAAAAAAGACAAGATATTTCGATTGCCAAGCAAATCTAAAGAACGCTATGTCCATGGCTATAGATAGAAAGATTAGCCTACTTTGGCCATTGTTTGCACAGGGCATGCTGAGACTAGAAAATTTGCGAGTAAATCCTCTTCGCGTCGTTCAGTATCATGTTTTCGTAGAAGGCCGTGCGCTGGCGCCCCTTCGATTTTCTTTTGCTATCTACATATCTAGCTATAGATTAGACAAGTTGAGGTACCGGTACTTCTTAAATTTTATACTCTCCTAATTACGATACTTACATGCTTATTCACTATTGAATTACAATATGGTACACCAAAACTAGGAAGTACGAAACTTGACGCTCTTGGCCCTGACAGGTAAACCAAATAACCAAAGTCTGGAAGTCATAAACTGAACCCAAATGACAACAGTGGAAGGGAAAAATAATTGCATTAAAGTTGTCACCGTCTGAGGTTCGCCATGTGTAGAAAATTCGATTGATTTTGAGACTTTCGCAAACTTGTCTTTCATGGGCGTGGGTTGTAATGTAATTATAGCTACGCAGTGATTTGTTATTTTGTACAATCAATAAAGAAAAAACTGGTCAAAATTTAAACGCTTCAAGGACGTGGGCTACTGCGATTGGCAAAATGCTAAAGAGGGTGGAGGTTATGGTTCTGCATATTTCGCAATGACGCTTTACTTGCTTCCCTTTATTGAGATGGATGCGCTTTATTGAACTTTCTTCCTTATAGGGATCTCTAAAATCCAGATTTTCTAGTGCCATGAAGTGGTATATATACTTACAATGGAGAATGTTTTGTTTTCTTTTCATTTTGCAATCATTAAGGTAAAAGCCTGTTGAACGAAGCCAACCTAAGACAGATGTCGTTGGATGTAAGTAGTATAATATGTTTCCAATTTACGCCCATTATATACGAAATGTTGCTTTCCAAACAGAAGGAGTTGAAGGAAGATCTTTATGGCCGGTCGCTTTCAGAATCAGACGAGTCGTATCTGAGTGACTACATCCAGAAGCATACAGTGCCTTTGCCGGATTTGTCAGATACCACAGGGTCGGGATCAGGCCCTGAGGATGATCTACTATCCCTCAAATCAAACACTACCGATGGAACTTGGGAGGAGAATTGGTTATTCAAAAAACGACAGCTGAAAGCAACCGAATCTTCAATTGCCATGCTGGTGCCATCTCCAACCGAAGAAGTTAAGGCTCTGATCGGCGATAAGAATGCTGATGAAGTCAGTGATCTTTCTGAGGCTGGATCCGATGTTGAGGACTACGATTCAGATAGCAACCATAAGAATACTACCACAGATCCTAGTAGTTCCACTAGGAAAACAGAACAATCACTTGAAGACCATGTCCAGGACAGTTTAATTTCGATAAACTCAATCGCTTCCAATGAGCCGGTTCTCTCGGAAGCCAAGAATGATCTGTTACTGAAGGAACAATCTTTTCCACTCGAAACTTCTAATCATCTGGTAGACGACCTTATCAGTATCGAACCCAGTTCGGAGAAAACGGAAGCTGCCAATCCGACATTGGTGGATAGTGAATTGAATTCGTTCCTGTTCGGTCCCGAATCGGTACTTGTGGAAGAAAACAATAATATAGTCAAGCAACATGAAGTGGAAACAGATGACGTCAAACTCATGCAGGAACTTATCCAAAATGCTCCGAAGCACAGTGACACCGATGGAAATGTACAATATCCAATCGGTATCGCTAGGTAAGTGAGATTAGAATTGACGTAATCAAGCTTCTTGTAGCTTAGCAAACAGCTTGTGCCTGTGCTTTACCTTTCAATGTTGTCTTGTTGGGTTTCGTGAACATTGCTTGTGTTTAGGACTGAAAAATGTTCTAATCAATGAAACTATTCTCTCGAAACTTTCAGAACAATCCCAGTCGACAGACCAACCGCTGAGTGTGACCGAAAAGAAATCCCAATAGAAACAGGTAAGCGTGTATTTCAGTTCACTGTTACATACGTAGATAGAAAACCTGCTAGTTAACCCTCTATAGCACGCTTTCACGAGCTTATCCATTGTCAACAAATAATAAATAGAAAAAATATAAAGCTTAATGTTTTCTAGCAATCACACTAACACTCTTACTCTATACACTCTCCCCACAAACTGATCACACACAGCACCACATAACACCGAACACAAAACTAAACCCAATGTAACCGTATCCGAAGTAGATGTAGATAACCCTAGTAATCCACGTAGCAGAAATCTTAACCTTAGCATTAGCCCTGATCAAACCCACCTGGAAGGCAAAACCACAACGATCCTAGACAACATCAGGAAACCCGATCCCAAAGCTCCAACTTCCGCTGAGCCGCTATCACCACACCCGATCGCCCTTAACATAACGGAAGTTTACGAACGCTCCATGAAACCTCCGCTAATGTCTATTTCAGAGGAAGACCTGGAATCGAACGCTTCAACAGCCTTCCGTTCGATCCTATCGCCTTCCGACAGTGTGACTTCTACGGCTGATGAAAGTGATTACAAAACCGTCTCCCAGAATGAATCGAGTGCGACTACCACAGCAGAGGCCGACACCGATAACAGTTTGATGTTGGATAGCCTACCATCGCAACATTCGTTGGATTCTTCCGCAGAAAGCAGTCGGCATTACAGGGAGGAGGAATTTAGTTCGATTAACATCGGCCATGAGGGACAAGAATCAGACGAAACATCGAAACCATCCCTGGAGCTGCTAGAGTTGAACGAAGCATCTTCGGGAGCAGTTTACGTATGCGACAAGAGTAAGTTGGAGTTTGCCGAGCAGTTGAAGGAACTGAGACAGCAACAACAGCATCATCCGGAGTCTGAGGAAAAGAAAGAAAATATGGACAGAAACGAAAGAATCTACGTGGGGCATGATTTAGTAGCATTCAATAACAATGCTTCCAGTCCGGAAGAAATGAAGGAACAAAAAGATCGATCATTGCAAAATTCGCTAACCATAGATCAAACAAGAGACATACTTGAGCAACAAACAGCAAATACGACAGAATCAGCAGGTGACAAAGCAACCATTGAAGATCCAAAGGATCAGCAAACCACCCTGATCGAAGAAGGCGTTGAAAAACCGTTGCACGTATCGCTTAGCTATGAAACTGAAACACAAGTCATTGACTTGAAAGCTGAATACGAGCAACCAGAGAATCAATGCTTGCCAATCATTGCAAATCCTACGCAAATCATAGATCCTGATTTGCTCGAATATGTGGAAAATCCAGAACTAAATGACAAAACTGCTGCGGAATCTGCAACAATTCATTCAAGTTTGATCGATATAGATTTTAACGATTCAACTCATAATGGATTGAAAGAGAAGTTAGTTGAATCAGATCACCAAAAACAAGATCTTATAGATGAAATCACTGAACAAACACCTCAACAAACTTTATTGCATGCTACGGAAGTATGCTTAGAAACAACCAAAGCCAAAACTGAAGAACTTGTTATTGTTTCTGATACTGCGGTAGAAACTGCAGAATCAGCTCTATTACAAAATGTGGAATTGGAATCAAGTCCAATAAAGACGTTGGAATGCATTGATCTACTGGGGGGCATACAAGCCAGCGATCAAATAACAGATGGTTCATTGCATTCACCTTCCTTACAAAGTGCACCTTTGCCCAGCAATGACTCTATAAATAACTATTACTTTGATGAAATATCAGCTCAACTTACGATGGAAGTAAAGGGCGATAAAAGTCAAAGAGATTCTTGCGCTACAGCTTTTGAAGAAAATAATAGAAATGAAGAAAGTGAATTCGAGAAATCAAATTCAGAAACAGGAACACAGGAAAAAGACAAGAAACCACAAGAAATTGAACCAACTCTTGACGTGAATCATACTGAATCCAAGAACGATTCCAAAACAGACCCAGATCGGAATTTGGATCAGAAATTATCATCGCAAGAAATAATCTTAGAACAGAATCACACAGAAGATGCAAAACCTAAAAACGAAGAGAACGTTGAAACAAAAATTGTGTCCGATGTTCTGAATGCTCATTTGTATTCCGAACAACAGATCTCGAAACCTTGTGAGAACCTAGAAACATTCAGTGTGGATTCGAATGATGAAATTAAGAACCCCGAAGCTACATTTTTACACTCCATTTCTGAAGAGTCAACCTTCAGTTCTTCTACGTCTGAGTTCACCTCTACAGAACCTGAATCGATCAAAAGCACAGAAAATAAAACAACGTTGAACACTGACCCATCTAATGAACTTACAGATCAATGTGAACAAGCTACAACCACAAACGAACCATTGAACAAGAACGAAGTCACTTCTGATCTTGAGCAAAATTACGCTTTAACTGTTCATGAATACACTGGTGACAAAAGATTAGCAGATGTTGTTGGTCCTACTACCTCGGTTGATTCAGCTGTAAAACTTGACGATGAACTAATTTCCTCTTCAAACATCGAAACTACAACTTCAGAAAACCTCGAGAAATCTTCTGATCCACAAAACCAGCCTCCCGAAAGAACTCAAACCTGCGAAGCAATCGTGACAGACTCTGAACATCATGAGCGTCTCAGTCCCACTCCTGGTTCAGTGCCTAATCCGCCTGACATTCTTCTAGGTACCACTGAAGCATTAGATGAGTCCGACAGTGAGCATTTGAAATCGAATGACGGTTTACCAAGTCAATCTGGATCATCTAGCCCGACGGACACGTCAACGGAAGCCATCGCCGGATCTGTCGACAGAGCATCTAGTCCGGAAGAATCTTATTCTGCTCTCACAGACGAAAAATCAACTATTTCCAACGGACAGCTGAAGCTACAAGACTCAGAACAACTGTTTTCCTTAAGCCGAACCCCTACTCCAGAAAAAAGACGCCATTCTACTCCGATCGCTATTGTGACACAGCAGATGCGACAATACTGCGAGGAGCTGAAGGGTATTCTTTATCCTCCAAAGTCACCTGAGACTGAAACAGAAGTAAAGCCACAAACACCTGAAAACCTTGATGCTCTACAGCTCTTCCAGGAAGAACTGCGTGCAGCTAACGAGGATCCCTCCCAGTGTGATGTCAAACCATGCAAGGATCATCCTATACAAGCAATTCCACCCAATGAAGGCAACGTTCCTGTTTCGGGAAAACTACTCACACCTATGGAAGAATTTGCTATTAGAACAGCAAAATACAATCACATTTTACGTAATATAGACTACGTTGAAGAGAGTGTTCCCATAGCAGAAGAAGCCGAGTGCTTGATGACGCAAAATGTAGAACAATCCACCGTTGATGCCGTAGTAATGGTTACCCCAAGTGCAGAAGAACACGCTGTTAATGAAGCGATCGTTGTTGAGCACACACCTACACCAGAACCAGTAGCTTTGACACAAGTTTCATACGAACGGCAGACCACCTCTACTGTCGAGGAGCTGGAAACCGTTTATCATCCAAATGATTCATTTGATTTTCCACCACCACCACCTCCAGAGATCCTGGAGAAAGTTGACGAACTCAATCAATGCGATCCGGAGATTTCTTCGCTATCAATACCGCTTGCCACGGTTTGTGTTTTAACTAACAACAGTGACACTAACCTCACCATTATTGTTGATACTACTAACAACTCGAATGATCAACAACCGCCGAGCTTCCTCTCGGAGGCATCTATTTCGATAGAAGAACCAGACTCATCTCAATCCCAACAAATTCCAGCACAATCTGCACCGGAGAAACAGAAACCATCGGAACTGGCCAATGGTCACGTTCCAACGACAACCAATGGTTCCACGGACGATTCCGGAGAGGAAGAAAAGCTTATACCTGGTAAGTGGGAACTAGTACAATATCATAAGATCGATCATTACAGTTGATCACACCATTAGGATCCATTGCCGAGCGTGAGCACTTGAAATGGCGGAACGCTTCACCTATCGCCAACAATCCGTATTCTCCAGATGTGTTACAGAAACGGCTGGAAGAGTCGAACAGAAAATCAAGTATGTTTGACTTTGATCGGTTGGCAGATAGAGCTCTCACATCCCCGACCATGGAAGTGCCTGATGAACCTGAACTCGTCTTGGCTTCCAAGGATGATGATGATACTGCTGAGAAGGATCGTTCGTTGCAATCCGTGGTTGGAAGCAATCCAAATCGATATCAAAGGTAAGAAATATTGTGACAACCTTAGTACTCAGCTATGTAAATTGAATCTTTCACACAGATACGGTAGAGATTACTACATAAATGACGCCAAGCGTGCTTGTGGATCGCGAAAGGAGACACCGGATCTATCGGGTCAATTAACGCACAGTACCGACGACGAGAAAGTGAGTCAACAATCCTATTACCTAACAACCAATTCCTACATCATGGACAAGTTCTTAAACAACGATCATACTCCATCACAAAGTGGACCAACCTCTGTTTCAACATCGGTTTCCCCTCAACCACCACCGTCCCTCCGATCTACACGTAGTATTCCTAGACAGAACCGAGCCTCTCCACGTCCGGCTTCAGTAGATCTAGGTTACTTTACGAAAGCCTCATCCAACGCGGATAGTGAGGTTGATATCCCTGCAAGTGTCATATCTCAATTTGAGCAGGAAATGCTTCACAGCAATTTCAAGCGAGACAGTTTCCGTGCTAGAAACTCTTCTACGCGACAGTTTGTCTTGAACCCCATTTTTGATGAATCGTCCAACCCTGTATGTCTAAATGAACAACCGATCGAGCCACAAGAAAAAATCCGCACTCTTCCCCGCAGTTCTTCCACAAAGCAGTATGATCGATTCTTTAGCATTCCTGTGCAGGTCAGTCCCGTAGTGGAAACCGTATTTACCGATCTGGGAACGCTGCGCCGAGGTGCCAGTGTTCGCAGTCCAACGGAAGAACATTCACGTCCGGTCGTGAATAGAAGTAGTAGTTGTAGATCCAATATCAGTAAATGATAACGGTGGTGGTTTAGCGCTGAAACTATATTTGAAAGTTTAGGGAACTGTGCCAAAACAAGTCTTTATTAGGAATACAGGTTTTTAAACAGTATACATTATAAGTAGATATCCATTTATTCCCATTACCTACCATAGTGCAATCATAAGTTATGCATGTAAATATGTCCAACATATAAAATAATACTGCTTTAGACCAGTGTTTAGTGATTATTAGAAGATCAATTGGTGAAGAATAAAAGCAAATTTTACAGTTATCGTTACGAACCAAACAGTTTTTCTACGTACACACAAACAGAACAGAACACAACACAACCAAAGAAACACTGTCAGTGATCATTTTCAGACCTGATCCAACCGGTAAGTCCACCCGCTCAATGTTATTAGCTTCGTGAAAATGTTCTAGCGTAAGTCCCATGTACCCAAACCATGTTTAATTTTGTTCAAGTCCGTAGTCTAGAGGTGACGGTATAGATATCATTTACACAAAAATAAACAGACACCGGTAAATGTATATTCACACGGTTCTACAGTCATACACCGTCCTAAATATGCATAACTAATAATCTTAGAAAAGCGACAGAAATCATATTACACTGGGATCATGTAAAAATTTGCTTTCTAGTTCTTCTCCAAGCGAACGTCTTCTAATAATACTAACCATTGTTGTAATCGAAAATTTAACCAAATCATAGGAGAAGAAGAATCCCATCAGAGTTTCATCTACAGCTCCTAATATCTCCCCGAATTTCGCGCGCAATTGTTTCTGTGATGTACATACTGATTCAATATTTTAGAACTCCGCTTCTCAGCACTAAAATTTAAAATTTATATTACAAACCTTCGGATCATGTTACCAATATGCTCTGAACGTAACTCAAGTGGCACGCTTCCGTCACAATAAGTTGCAGCAAGTGGGATGTAACCTGCACTATCTTGTGAAAAGGGCTGGAGCACATCATAAAAAATTTATAAAATTATAAAAATCAGATTGTTTTGACCAAATGTGGATTTTTTTACCATGTATTTTTTATGCGATAGCCATCTATTTGCCTATAACTTTGGCTCAGACGTTATTCCGATTTGAAGTCATGTTTTCATGCAGTGATTTATTCACAAAATATCGAATTCGCCATCATCTTATCGATTCGTAAGTTGGCGTGAAAATGCTCTAAATTCAATTATCAACTGTCCTCTTTTTAATTATGCGTTCAGTACATATGTTATGATTAATTCAAACCTTTCTTGATATCAATTTCCATAAATGTAATTTCAAGTAAAATTTACCGATAATGTATTCAAACACGGGAAAAAATCTGATATCATTTTCATGAATAAAAAATCATGGAATCAAAAAACATGCCATCCCATGAAATCATAACAATGATTCATGATTTCGTTATGGAAATTCATGATTTCATAATGCAGCGGAATCATGACCGCTTCAAGCATTACCTGGAAAACCATGTTTACCGCACTACATAGGTATCTCTTATACGCGTTTTGCCTTCCTGATAGTCTAGTGATCAACGTATGGGTTTAATGATCGTAAGGTTCTTGGTTTGAATCCAGCCTGTGGCTTTATTTTATTTTATTTTTTTACATATGATGGTTAAAATCTAGAAGATAAATTCATGAATTTAGTTCATGGTTTTAACTCGGTAATCTTGAGTGCGTTACTCATGATATCATGAATATGATATCATGAATATGATATCATGAATATTATTCATGGTGTGATATCATGAATATCATGATATCATGAATATCATGATATCATGAATATTATTCATGGTGTATTTTCATAACACGAAAATACGCTTTGTTCATGAAATCATGAGTTATTTTTCTCATTTCGGAGATCGGATTTTTTCCCGTGTACCAAAATAGCCATGCTACAATATGAACGTAATATAATCATATAGGTAACTAGAAGGTCCCGAAGAAACGTGTTCAACTTTTTGGCTCAGCTCTGGTATTATCTTCAATCCCAAGCTATTCGATGGACCCCTCGAAACATATGAAAATCCACGAACCCCTCATTTTATCTGTCAAATTTCCATAGCAAATCAAAACAAACATAGTGTAGTACTGGAATTTTAGCTAGAATGGGATACGTTAATCGATTTGCTTGGGACCAATAGGCTAGTCAAGTAGTAAGGCAATTTAAAATCGTTTGGTATAATGATTCTATATGATATTGCATTATATATAGGCTGTAATGATATCAAACAAGGGAAATGGCTCAAATATTTATCGTAATTAAAAATTGAACTAAACGGTCCCACTTCTAAGCTTAAGCTTGGATCCAATTTTGATGACATTTAGGCAGACGTTAGGGACATTAACCTATAGTATATTATATTCATGACAAATTTGTCGTATGGGTATTCAAGATAGCTTACAGTTAACAGCTGTGAAAGTATTTGAAGAATTACTGATGAAAGCAGGCATAAAGTGCCAGTCGAGCCAAGGAGAACTTTACTAGGAATATAATAAAACCTGTGCACGGTTAGAATTGCACATACAAATATAGCTGTAACTTTTGAAATGCTTTACCAAACATTTTCAGAGAAGATTCTTAAGAGACTACAAATCATGTATTAAATTGATTCATTCAAAACCGATCTTTAGCTCAGGTTTTATTCAAAATAACAAAAAGATGAATGAAAAATGTTACGAATGAAGTGCAAATTGATCATCAATTTAGCACACAGGCCTTTCAATGGAGGCATCGTGGAGGGATAGCCTTTTAAATTTACGGAATGTTATGGTGTTCCACTAAAAAAAACCCCAAAGGTTAATTTTACCTCCAGTTCCCTTACAGTTGTGAAACTTTTTTTTTATGTTTTAACAGCTTTTTTTCATTTAATGTTTAATTTGTTTACAGATTTGGGAACCTGTGATAGCGTAATAGATATTCCTGTTTTTGTTTGAATTGGAGTTGACTTTTTATGTAAAAATCATTCTAAATTGTGAAGTATAATTTCAGTCCAATATTTATTTTGAAATAGAAAATTTACCAAACTCTATGAGTCGTGCCTTCTCGCGACAATTAGTTTATACCTGAATTGACTGTTGCTTTGTGTGCTTTACTACCGCTTGCTACCGTACGTTCAGATCTGAATTCGAAGTGTATTGGCAACAGCGCACGCACGAACGAATGAAAGCTGTATTAGAACAGTCGCATCTATACCCGCTTTGCTAAAATCATCGTACGTGGTGAACCGAATTGGCTGTATTTATACATTTCTTTATGACCATGTTTTCAATGTTTCTGTCACCATGACAGCCTTCACAAACCGACAACCGCCGACATGTCTGTTCGGGATCATGGGGTAAAGGCCGACGCACAATAGATACGTTTTCGGGTTTTTTGACAGATAATGCATGGGCTAACTGGCATGGGCTGAGGTTTATCCCATGATCCCGAACAGACATGTCGGCCCGATGTTGGATCAATGCAAGGTCAATTTATGATCGACGTAGGCCAAATATCGTGCCGATGTCTTGTCAATTCTGTGTTTATGTCGGGTCAATGTTGGGCCAACATCGGGTTGGGGTTTGGTAGAAGTCAGGTTGGTGTCGAGTAGGCTTATTTTTTTCGCCGGGATGACGGAATGTCTGATCTGCTTAAAAAAATATCGGATGCAAATTTTGGAATGGGCAGCACGAACGTGATAGCAACCGAACGAGCTTCGGCGTCACACTGATAGTGTAGTAACAGTCTCACGACATACGAACAAAAAATCACAGACAGCTGCAACGAATCGGCAGTTTGACGGACTGCTTGTTGTACGTACGAGGAACGTTACGAATGACGATCCGAGGCTGTCATACACTGAGGCAGGTAGACTTCAGAATTTCATAAGGCTCGACTTATTAACGACACATATGAATTTCATAAGCACGACTTATGAAAGATTTTCGTCTAACATAAGGTAGCTCCTATAGAGCTTTTTGACGTTTAATCGGCGCACACTACTGTACCATTTAAAGCGAACGAGTGCGAGCAAGAGGGAAACAGATTAGTGGGGAAACAACCGTCCATTCATCCATGGGTGCTAGATAGACAAAGATGATTAAACGTCAAAAAGGTCCATACGCCTTTAGCCTTTTCATTTACTCAAGCGTTGACAGACGAGTGATCTAGACACAGGACCCGTAATCTCAACGTCCATGATTCGGTTCCAGTCTGCTCCGTTTGATTATTTTTCATAAGGCAAATCTATGAAATTCATATCAATTTCTTGGGGCCTCCCTTAGCTCAGTCGGTAAAGGCGCAGCTACAAAGCAAGACCATGCTGGAGGTGACTGGGTTCGATTCCCGGTCCGGTCTAGGAATTTTTCGGGTTGGAAAATTTCTCGACTTCCCTGGGCATAGAAGTGCATGATTGGACTTGCCACACAATTAAATATACCAATGCAAAAATGGTAGAGGCATCGAAAGCTCTCAATTAATAACTGTGGAAGTGCATCTAGAACACTAAGTTGAGAGCACGCAATAAGCTAATATGCGATATGCAATAAGCTTGAAATGCGAAGAAGAAGAAGAAGAAGATATCAATTTCTTGTGGCTAAAATTCATAAGTGGTTCTTATGGAATTCGCTGTTTTCTAATTAAAGGCTTTTCAAAATGTTTTAAAGAGCATCCTGTTACCTATACCTGTTAGCCGAACGCTATCGGGCTGAATGGGCCATTTTACTGAATTTTAGATAAAATTAAGAAATTGTTTTAAAAATTTTGAACTTGATGCGGCGCAAGACATTTTTTTTAAAGTATCGTGATTTTGAAAATTTTTCTAGATCCCTGATTCTTTTTCGAGATTCCAGATTTGGAAAAAAATACAGTCCCAGGAATATTGTGTTCGCTTGGAAACGTGTTCAGAGTTCTAACAATTTAAAGAATTTTTATAGAATTTTGAAAATTTAACGGAATTTTGACAAGAATCCCAAACTAATTCTAAGATTAAGTCCTGACGAATTCTTAGAAGAATTACAAGGGAATTGTGAGGAGAACTTCAAGGAGAATTCCTAGTTGATTCTGAAGAGATTTGTTTGTGGATTGTGAGGAGAATTTTAACGAGAATTTTAAGGAGAATTTTAAAAGATATATAAACAGAATTTAAAGAGTTTTCTGATAATAATTCCAAATGAATACTGAGGAAGATTCACAAGAGAAGTTTAGGCAAGATCCGAGAAAAATGCCGAAGGAATCGTGTTCTGATATAAATAAAGAAAAATGCTGAAGAAATTAAACTACATCCTTAAGAAAGTTTCATGGAATTCAGCACAGAATTCCAAAGGATTTCTCAGGAGAATTCCAAAGGATTTCTGATGAGAGTTTTGCAAAAGGTCAAATAATTTCAAAGGTTTTTGTAGCTAAAGAAACATATGTTTGCTTGATTAAGTTCAAGCTGTTATTCAACTTTCTATTTTTGTTGCAAATGCTTTTGTGCCGTTATCAAATGTTACGCCTGATGTTATATTTTGAGCTTTGGTTCAAAAGTTATAAATTTTTGAAAAAAAAATCGAAAAAAATCGCTTTTTGAACCACCGGAAATGGTCACAATAAAAAAATACGGGTCTGATATTTTACGATAAGGAACAAAAATACCAAAAAAATAAAGAAAAAACAAATGCTTCCCAAAGAAACAACTAGGTTTAAATGGATGTAATGTCGGCCTAAATGCCCCTAATTTGGGCCCATACATAAATTCAGCAATGGACTAAATTTTCAATAGCGACCAAAAATATCCATGAGTGCTGTCTCAATGACATAGGCCAACATTAGAGCCATTTCCCCTACATACACAATAGGAGACGAACCAGCTGAAAATCTCGATAATAAAGTAAACTAAACTAAACATGTTATTGAACAACTTGCAGAACACACTTAATGTATTGCTAAACTTTGGAAATGAGAATATAAAAAAATTAAACATCTCTAACGTTTTCGAAGTCAAATCACCTTACCGAAATTAGTTTATCACTTGTTCACATGAAGTATAGATATACTGTGGCTAATTATCCCATAATAACAAATTTCACTAACAATTCCCCTAGCTCTTTCAATTCATATTCATTCCTATTCTGACCTATGTACACTTTCCACATTCAACTCCAGTCTCTACTGCTGTCACAGAAACAGGATCAACCAACTAGCCCTACCCACAGTAACGGGAATGACCTGCGTCCAGCTGGTGCAATCCCATTCGTAAAGTCCAACAGCTGTGGCAACGTGATCAACAACAATCAATCGGAGGACAGTGACAGTGCGGCTCGACCCATTGCAGTTGCTCCAGGTGATCCCATCCTGAAGAAAGGCACCAAAGTGGAATGTCTCAGTACACAGGATCGGGAGGTCTACCTCGTTCCAACAGACGAACCCATCACTCCCTGTTCGTTGGGATCCTCTTCGGAACTAAGCATGACGTCACGACCTGATGATAGTCTAACGTACAGTGAAGACTCGGACGTGACTCGGATCTATGAGATCGGAACAGGTGAAAGCAAAGTTATTCATGGAGATGCTATCGGTAGTGAAAAGGACACAAGTCGGACACCTCCCTCGACTCCAACTAATGACGAATCTGGTGTAGTGAATTGCATAGACGAAGAGCAAACAATGAACAAATTGAACAGTCTGATGCAGCAAGAGACTGAACTAATTTCAGAAGAAATTATCGGGATTATTCCTCAAGTCAGAATGCCCACACCGGTTGAACCGGACCCGATAGTTGAACCTCCTTCCAGTCCCACTATAGACCGTAGTCATCTACTGAAACCTCATCTCGTCAAGATGAAACCTCTATCGCCGGAAACGATCAAATTTTTCTCGCCTAAAAAGCCTTTCGCAGCCAAAGGGGGCAATCTTTCTGCGTCATCCTCACTTTCCCAGTCGTCGACGGAAATTCGAGATCTACCTCATCATGTAAGTTAGTCAAGTGTTTGAAGTCGCAGATAGTAAGTTATAATGCAATACTTTCAGCCTACCAGCCATTACCATTCGTCCTTGCACATCGATTATCCGCCCAATAGGGCCGCACCCATCCATCATGATTTCATCATCGAGAAGGAAGTGATGGAAGTGCTTCCCTCGGTTAAGGAGCTCGCCAAGTGCTATAGCAGCAGTCAGCAGGATGTCAATGCAGTGCCGAAGCCGCTTCATAAACCAAAGGTAAGGGTCGATGCGTTTTAAGAACAGTTCAATTCTTTGAGTGAAGTGTTTGGATGGATTGAGTTTGGTAAATTGGACAAGTTTTTCCATTTTTGGTGCACCCGTTCAGTTTTGTATCATTGAAAACTATCAATGAGAAGCTATTATTCCAAACATTTTAAATCAACCAACTAAAGTTATTTTACATAGGATGACGAACGGCTTTGGCCCCCTCAAAACTCTATTCTAAGCATGAATTAAACAATAGCTTACAATGCTCATTTGTTGCAGCATAATATCCCACATCATAGTCTTTTTGATATAGTTTTCTGATTAATTTTCTCTAGAAAGACCCCGTGCTTGGGTCTTGGAGGGGCTGAAACCGTTCTCCACCCTATCTAAAATTCAAAAAAAAAAAATTGAGTGTGCGTGTGCGTATGTTTGGGGACGATTACAAAATGACGTCTCTTCTTGAAGGGGAAGGGGGTCCCAGAATTTGAGAGAACCGGAGTGGGGTCATTTTTTAATCGCACCTTGATGCTTCTGTTCTTCACGGGATTATGATTTTGATATAATTTCTTTTGTTCCACGCGACAAATGCCATTCGAACCATTGCAAAAATCGTCAAAATATTAACCACATTGAAATATAGGTCAAGCTCCGCAAGGTAATTCATTTGCTTATCGATTCAAAGTGTAGAATAGTTCATTTGTGCAAATTACCAGTCGATTGTTGTATGCCCTCCATTACCACACAAATGTAACTAACAGAGCAAATGATTTTCACAACATACATTAATGCTGCACCATCTTCACAAAACTCTAAACGATACAAAGCCTCACGATTGTGACTAAACGCTTGACAGCTTTTAGCATAACTTTTGTCATCACTGTTTATCCATCATCTATAGCGCATTTTTAATCAGAAGATCGAATTAATTTTCCCTGACCTTGATACCACTGTATAGGACTTCATTCGACAATCGTCGGACATGCTACACGAGGAGGAAAACCAGGACACTCGCACCGGAATGCCGTACGTCCAGAACAAGAACCGTCGAATATATTGCAGTACCGGTAGTATCAGTGCCGCGGAGGAGATACGTGAAATCCGCCGAATGAAAGTGGAAGCATATAACCCACCGACGTTTGTTCCGATGGCCCCGGGACACAGCATAACGGCCCGCAGTCTGTCCAAGCAGATTCGAGATGAGTTGAAGTATGTTGACAAATTAATAGAAATCGATAATCTCGTTCTCAACTGCAATTCAAATTCTAGAACCAATGCGACGGATGATCACAAGGTGCAAGGAGGTGGCCATGCGTCACCCGAGCGACCCAGCAGTCCCGTGTTTGCTCCGGGTCATCTGCGAAGTAGTATACAGTTCTTTGAAAATTTGAAGGAAAAATAGTCGGGGAGAAGGATCAAAGTCAATCAGAAAAAGTAATCAGTGCCATTGTTCTTAAAATCTGTAATATGATACCAAAATGTCTAAAGTAGAAACTATTTCTCGAGGAGGAAGCGAGTCGCTTTTTTGCCGTTCGTTGTGTTGAAATTATTGATTTATGTGCAGTGGTTTATTTATTAATACATTCTTAAACGCATTTACTCCTTTGGAAGCAGGAAGTATTTTGAACCGCATTACAAAAAGGTGGAAAGTTGTGCTATTGCTTTTGACAAGGGCAGTCAAGTTCAGAACTATCGAGTCAAGGAAATATAGTCGTTTGCAAAATTAATAGGTATGGAGAATAAATTCAATATGTTATATCCGAAAATCCACTAAATTACAATTTTTGCATATCGATACAAATATATAATTACTGCAGATAACTAATGCAATGTAACATGTTTTAACAATTTTGATAAGAAAAATAATATCAAAAAAATGTTGTAACTCCCTAGTTTGAACATAGCATAAATTACAGACAACTTGCATGCCAACAAAAACCAAGGAAACAAATTTTCTCGAGGTTGACACAAATTCAGGCATAACATTTAATAACGGCACAAAAGCATTTTTAAACAAACTTTCTAAGTCCCTTTACACGCGAACCAAGTACGCCCACACAAACAAATACCACTTTCGGAAAGGTGAGGCCGATTCAAATGTGCAGTGATCCGAACTGTCAAAACCATTGGATTTTTTGATCTAGATAAAAATAATTTGTCCAGAATAGATCAGACACGAGCCAATTCATAACTTTTGCATGCGGGTTCATGGCTTAGCTAAATATTCCCCGCGAACACGGAGCCAAATGTCAGTAGTGTGCTGTGGTCAGAAATTTTATTGTTTTTGCTATGGTCATTCATGTCGGTTGTCGGTGATAAAACAGCTCGTTTTATTATCTTTTGAAAGGGGCGTACATTTTAATGAAAATCGGTTGAATTAACAAAAGGGTCTTGAACATACCATTTACGAGAAATTTATATAAAATTATTGTTGAAAACCAGATTTATCAGGAGTCACCCATATTACTTATTAATATCATGTATAAAATGTGAACCACTAGCGAAAGACAATTGCTTCCCTGGGCAAAGTAGCTCAAAATGAGTTGTTCTACAACTTTGTCCAACATTGTGCTATTCTATCTCCACCGACAAACTGACATGAATAATCATACAAATTACAACGAAATTTCTGATAAAATCCCAAAAACTGACATCTGCCGCTGTGTTCGTGAAACATGTTTATCTTAGCCACGCACACACATACAAAATGTATGAGTTGGTTCGTGTCTAATCTATTCCGGGCAAATTATTTTTATCTTGATAAAAAATGTCTATGGTTTTTTTTTTTTTTTTTTTTTTTTTTTATTATAGAGATTTTTAGCCATAGGCTAGTTCATCTCTTATCTATGGTTTTGACAGATGGGATCGCTACACATTTGAATTCGCCGTTATGGATTCTCGATCAAGAGTAAAGTTAAGTTTCATGTCGGTTTGTCGGTGATAACACATTGAATATTTCTCACTGTAAAACATTACCGCCATATGCTGAGTACACTGTGGTGGGCAGTACGCTGAATAGATGGCGATAGTGTGTAAAGGCCCAAACGCAATGTGGGCGGAAGCGGAACGGAAACGGAAAGTTTGACAGTTGTCACTAATGACATCAAGATGCCTAACCGAAGTCGATTTGATTCTAACTAGTTTTCAATCCGACAAGTAGGCTTACTCAGATCGGGCTTTTCCGCTGCCGTTGCCGTTCCGCTTCCGCCGTCATTGCGCTTGGGCCTTAAAGGTCAAACGCAAGTTGACTATGAGTGCCACAGGTGCCGGTACTACCAGCTACGGTACCGTAAAACGGGGTGACATTGCGCCTAAGAGGTGACATTGCACCAAAATTGGAAAATGTTTATAGATGCAAATATCTTGAATTTTGCAGAAAATTATGGCTAAAATATGTTTCTTGAACTCCTGGAGTTCTGTGTAACCAGTTGTTTTATTTAAATAATGCTGTAAAGTTAAGTGTCATACAAAGTAGCAAAAACACGATGTCCACAAACAAACAAAAGTTTAAAAACACTTTATGTGGATATACGAGAATTACACACAATCATTAGCCATAAATACGAGAATAACATTGTGATCATAACCAAGTGCACTCATAATAACTACGTAACATTTTATATTTTAAGATATTTTAACCAAATTTATGGTGCGGCCCAATGCAACCCTCCCCCCCCCCCCGCCCCATAAGGTTTACATTAGTCTATTTTTTACATAATTGTAGTAAAATGAGATATCAATTTCAACCAACCATTTCGTGAATATTCTCATGTTATGTCTGTTTGTCCGCGGTTCTTGCTTTCACCACTAGGGCCAACATTCAATCTCCAATTAACAGCTGTGAAAGTACTAAAAAAATACTAAGGCTGTGTTCCATTTGGAAAATTTTCACTTAGATTTGACACTTCGAAAATAAATTAAGATGTTCGAAAATCCCTCTGTTGTTGATCGGCCGATTTTCGAGAAAGCGTCTGTCAAAATTTATTCCTTGTCTGTCAGAAATAAGGCTGTGAACCATTTGCCGAGTTAAATTTAACTCGTGGTTAAAAGTGACATTTCGAAAGTTATTTCTTATGTTCGAAAATCCCCGTTCTGTCGATCGACCGGTTTTTGAGCCACGGTCGTCAAAATTTAACTTCTTGTCTGTCAGAAGTAACCACGCTTGGATAGCAGGGTTAATCGATAACTTTTCATCTGTCAAATTTTAACCAAAAGTTAAAATAATCCACCAAATGGTTCAGAGCCTAAGTCTGCTGGAATAGCAGGTTTATTTGAAAATTTTCCATCTGTCAAATTTAAGTAAAAATTCACCAAATGGAACACAGCCTAAGGCTGTGAACCATTTGCCGAGTTAAATTTAACTCGTGGTTAAAAGTGACATTTCGAAAGTTATTTTCTATGTTCGAAAATCCCCGTGCTGTCGATCGACCGGTTTTCGAGCCACGGTTGTCAAAATTTAACTTCTTGTCTGTCAGAAATAACCATGCTCGGAAAGCAGGGTTAATCGATAACTTTTCATCTGTCAAATTTTAACCAAAAGTTAAAATAATCCACCAAATGGTTCAGAGCCTAAGTTTATAAAAGTAAAAGTCCCAGAAGAGACGTCGTAATGCAAAAGAAGAAGAACGTGTTTTGACGCAATGTTCTATAAATTTATTTTTTTCTTATTACAGTATTAGGTAGCTGTTCAAGAGTTGGTTAAATGCTATTGAGGTAAGGCGATTCAAAGAAAAAAAATACCCAAAACTTATGCCCTCACCTAATAGTACACACTAATCGACTTGTGGAACGGGATGTATTCCAACTCAGATGCGTGCTTGCGTCGGTAATCCCAAAGGAAATGATCCAACAGAACAGCATTCACATTTTTCGTCGAAATATCTGGATGATTCGCCTTCAGTTCCTCCGTCACAAGGTCCTTCAGCCGCTCGACAATGTAGATCGAGGCACCTCTTATTTCAACCTCCTCTGGACATCCATTTTCCATGATCTTATCCGATTTCAAAACATCCATCAGTTCGTCTGTATATTCTAGTGTTTTGAAATGTACCAGCACCTGAGGAACTCGGTAATCGGCAAACATGGTAATTTTTTCGATGTCATCAAAACGTCCCAGACCTTCGCCTCGGTAGCAGGCCCACAAATCGCCAACCAAAATCTGAGCCCTTTTGTAAAGCGATACTCGCTTGCCATTGAATGTTGCCTCATCTCGGAAACATGGAAACTCATCCGTAACCAATTTCAGCAATGCTACGGCCGAATTGTTGCAAGCTTTAACACAGTTTTCAAAATTTCCTTCGTATTTCTCCAGCAGTACTTGCCCAACTTCGTGGAGACATTGAACGCGTTCCGGCAAGAGTGGAGCTTTGGTTTGTCCATCATCCGAGCGGAGAATTTTCTCCAACTCTCCTAAGGTGATTTTGGAATAGTACGAAGGATTTGTGATGTCAATTCCCTCTTTCAAAGCACGATTGATTGCAGCACAAAGGGAAAAGTAACCGGTCTGCTCATTCACCTTCCACTTGGTTGCATCGCCCGGGGTCCAGAAGCAAAAGTTGAGCGTATCGATCAGGAAGATCCAGTTGGGTGCATGAGGATCGGTCGGCTTTGGATGGTGTTCATGTTGAGAGAAGTTATCGACATCAATCACCTTGGATTGAATCCCTGCTATCACCTGTACGGAGCACAAAGAATAATCTCTAACTGATAACGCTTTTATGTAAGGTACTAACCTCTTTGACGAAGCTCTTGATCCCATCTTCATTGACTTTCAAGAATTTAGCATTCTTTACAATGAACTCACCGGATTCGGCTGGTGTAAGGGTGGCCATATTCGAAAAATTTAAAAAGTGACAATTTTGAATATAAACGAATCACGGTGCGGAACATCAACCGTTCTTTTTTTCGAGTATCAAAACAACATGGACAATCGATACTTTTGACTGCTTTGCCTGTAGAGCCCGTCACTGAAAATCATACACGGTTCAAATAAATATCGAAACACATGATGGCGCGCAGGCGCATATTTTTCTTCGTCCTTGATTTGTTTCTCCGGTTTCTCCCCATCAGTTCTCAGTAAAAACGTCAATCTGCAGGATTTTCTTAATGTTGTGTGTCCTTATATCGAAATTTTCTTAATGCTTTAAAAATCTTAATAATAATGCTCAAATTATACTATCAAACTTGGTGCCTCATTTCGGTAGCCTTCCTCGTGCCACGTGCTATCTGTGATGCTAATAAAGTGGTATTCCAATTTCCAGAATACGATTATAAGGAGACGAGTAAAAATGTAAGTTTGCTGCTGTGCAAAGAAAAATAAAAGCAATGAGTGTTCATTTATAATCGTTAGGAACTAGCATTCCGAGAGTACGAATCAGCCTGCGATCAGAGCACACGTTGTTCGATCTTCGAAGGGATTGAGAAAACACGGTGCGTTCGGGAATGTATGTCCCCTTCTTGCTATCAGGAAATTTACAAATTTGATGAGGTGAGGATGCGCCGTATTTGACATAGATTTGACTGAGATGCTTCATCGTTTCCGTATTTTAGCTTGAGGAGGGCGAAATAGACGTAAGACTCAATTCGTTTCGAGCATGCTTCATGCAGCGGTTGAGTAGGAATCGTGGATAGACGGGTTGAGGTTACACATAGTATGAACCAAAAATATCAGTATTTTAGACGATTAAATGCAAACGGTAGGTTGAACAATGCAATATTATTCGTAAACATGAAAGAAAAACCCTTATTAGCTAAACTTGTATGAAATATAGAGTATGTGGAACATGGCGCTTATTTGAGCTTTATTAGCTTGAGCTGAAAAGTTAAAGGCAAGATTGTCTCGAGATGCTAAAGCATGGTCTATTCGTAACTAATTCCGTATTGAAACAAAAACGCAATAAACCGGAATTAAATTCACAAAGGTACGTTTTTTCATGGAAATTTGGTTTGCATGCTCTGTCAACTTAGATTTCTGCAGTATCCTGTGTCCACTATATGACAAAAAAGAGAAGCCGGTTATGAACCTCACTATTCTACCATCTAGTACGAGCATTACTTTTCTGTGATAAGAGATGAACTAGCCTCAGGCTAAAAATCTCTAAAATAAAGATTAAAAAAAAAAAAAAAAAAAAAATACTTTTCTGTGATAACGACAAAAAAGTGTCCAGTCACTTGATTCAACACAAAGTGACAGAAAATGATATTTTAGTGATGCTTTTAATCGATCCTGTCACGTAATTAGTCACTTAATGACGAATAAGTGGATCGACATTTTTGATAATTATTTTTATTTGTTTAAGGATTTTAGACTTTTTTTTTTTTTATTTTAGAGATTTTTAGCCGAAGGCTTGTTTTCATCTCTCGGATTTTAGACTTATTTTTAATCGAAAAAAAAACCTGGAAAACCTAGAATCATCATAGAATTTTATTTTACCGGAAAAACCTGGAATTCTCAGGGATTTTTCAAATTGCTTAATCAAGCAATTGTTTAAGAATAGAATATATTGGCGTGATTGTATGACATTCCCCCGAAAGCCATTCCCCAGAATGTACAATTCCTCAGAAAACCATTCCCCAGAACGGACTTAATAAAACCACTTCCCAGAATGCACCATTCGATAAAATGATAAAATGCTTTTTTTCCGCATTTATGCCAAATGGGGTACTAACCTCGAAACAAGGCAGATTCGTACACGCTATTCCAAAACGACACAGATTGGTCAAAACTGAATCTACCCAAAAATGGGTAAACTATGTTGAGAATAACAAGTTGACAAATGAACAACGTTGATCAGATTCATGTCGATGTTGTCAATTTTTCAACTTGTCATTCCCAACACAGTTTACCCAATTTTAACCGATCTGGGTGAATGGGAATTGGGTAGTTTTAAAATTGCGTGTAAGCCTTTTCAAATCTACTAAAATCATGGGCGTTCTACAAAATTGAGTCTAGCAAGATCCTATCCGAATCTTCGATGATATGAGACTACGCAATTGGCCGTAATAAAACCACTGATTGTTTTCACAATCTCTCGATAGCAACCATCTCTCTTGTTAAAAATCGGTACGCTAAAATAATATTGAGGCCTATTCCGCGCTATTGTCCCCTCACTTGCGACGCAGAATAAGCCTTATTGGATGTAAGTCAAAAGCAGACCACATAAGGGAAATGTCATAACGTTGACATATAAATCTAAAGAATGGGTCCATCGATAAAAATCTCCTGTTCTTACATTTTTGGATATAGGGGAAATGGATGTAATGTCGGCCTAAATGCCCCTAATTTGGACCCATACATAAATTCAGCAACCGACTAAATGTTCAATAACGACCAAAAATATCCATTAGTACCGTCCCAATGATGCGCTCATCTAGATAAAATTGATAAACAGCAGATTTTTAGCGATGGGCCCAAGCTTAGCGGGTTATTCAGAGAGTCGAAGTGACTTTTGTCACTAGTGAAGTGAGAAAAGTCACCTCCTCTGTGCAAATCAAATGAAAAGTCACGTCACCACGACGTGACTTTTCTCACTTCGACTCTCGGAATAACCCCCAGATCCATAGGCCAACATTAGAGCCATTTCCCCTATTGCCAAAAAATGCTTTCCATCGAACATTTTGAATGGGCCACTTAGGCAGACATTGAGGACATTAGCCCTACATTCTGATTATTTGAATGTTTATTTCAACACAGGGAACAGCAAAATCAAGTAATGATACCTCTCGACAACCGCTTTTGGAATGGTTTCAAATTTTATTTACACAAATAATTTGCATTAACTGATTCTGCAGCAGAGTTACACTTTCTCAATCCATTTGATAATATATATTTGATTTAAATATACACACATACGCCGTTTTCTAGACTTTGTTTTTCGGTAGTTTATTGTTCAACACTGTTTAAGATTAATCCGTTTATTTTTAGTTATACTCTGTAGTGTATTCTCTCAAGTGTCAATAACAATAGATAGTTTCATCATTTTCCACGAACAAAAAAAAAAGTACGTTATCCGAACCATATGTACAACGAAAAGTTTTTCAACGCTTTATTTCAACCTTCACTGACGACTGACGATGCATGGCGATAATACTTGGCTTGGACAAGCCATCCTCATGACTAATGCTAACGACGGGTGACTTTCTCTCTGTTGACCACGAAATTTGCGCTGTAAGTTAACCGACCAACAAGGAACGCAACAAAATCCATCCATTTTTTTCTGTGTCTAGTAAAATCTAGTATTTTGATCTTTTATTTTTCCCTCACAGAGTTGTGCTTTGCTATTGTTAGGTTTTTTTTTCGGTAAGTATAATGTATTTTCTGGAACGGTAAAAATAGATCCGGTTTTTAAAAACAACTTTTCTCGCTCGATTCTCGCTTTCTTCTTACACAAAAAAAATCAATAATTATCAGTAATCATCCTTAACAAAATTTTAGTTATCCTATGCTTGTAATAATCTACTTAAATTACAATCAATAATAGGTAAAATAATCAACAGTTAAACAGAATGACAGAAAGTAGTCAATAGTTGGGAATTTTGATTTGCGGTTTGTTTTTACATAATTGTGTTCCGTTGGGATATCTTCCGGGGCACCACCAGGGTTTCTTATATCCGTGCATGCATAGCTCAGCTGAACGTTGAAATTTTGGGAACAGGGGAACACGGGACGGGCGAAGATGATTGATAAACAATGCAGCTGACGACGACAGACATGCTGTTGTTGTTTTCCATTTGTATCTCTCTCTCTTTTTCACACACGCCACTAGACTTGTCGTAGTTGGGATGGACCGGGATGTGTACGCTACGTGGATGCAACTTAGACCTTGTTATCGACCATGTCAATGTTCAGCTTGTAGTACACGTACGGAAAATATTCCGATTGTCCGAAACCAAGGCCGGGAATGTCAACATTCTGAAATGAAAGAGAAACAATCAGATAAATTTCATATCCTAGAGTTTGGAGAAACTAGACAAGTTGTGGATCACCCAACTGCCCCCCGTTTCCCCTAAGCTTGTCGACTGAAATGTTTATAGTACTTACATCAGCATTTCCACCGGAGGACGCCGCCGATCCATCCAGGTGACCATACAGCTGCATCAGAACGTCCCGCAGACGTTTGGTGTTCTTCTTGTTGGGGTGAATTAGGATGGCTTGGAAATTGACTGGCAAACCGTATCTACAGGACAGCAATCAAAATAACTAGAATGTAATTTATCGGCAAAGTATTGCATAAACCAGTCAAATACCTTAGCACCGATTCTACGAACACACGGAGGGCTTTTACGTGGACCCATGCACAGAAGCATTCACTAAAGTTGACCTTCAGCCATCTGACCAGGGGACCCTATTCAAAACCCAGAATGAAACGCAAATATTAACCAAGCTTTTTCTCTAAATCGAACACAATGCACTTACAAATTGTTTTTTCTTGTCCGTCACCAGTTTGGTAATTTCGTTCTTGCCGGCCGCCAGCTCCTCCTCGTTGTAAGTGAACTCACGGACCACGAACTTACGCTCACGGGCGTGCAGTTTGAACTCGTCCACGACCTTCTTGAATAGCGTAACCGTACACAGCGCGTAGTCATTGTCCTGCGTGATTATCTGCGAGGAACGAGGCACGATCATGTCGGTGATTTTCTCGTAGTTGGTGTTCCAGTCGTTGACCATTTGTCTGTGAAGTGTTGAATTTTAGCATACCATTGTGAAATAAAAATGTCACGGAAATTTACTTGGGCACGATCACTAGCAAAGTGGTCAAGTATTCTGAGTCTAGGATGAAGTGCTCACGCTTGACAAGATCCGCCAAATTACGAGTCAGCAAGCTTCCTCTGCAATGAAATGATTATTGGATTCAAAAATTCACACACATCCATCACTATCGCTTACGTCTGCTTCTTCTCCAGATTCTGCAGGTTGCCCTTCAGGTTATTGTAGGCAGCGGATTTGGTTTTCAGATCCGCATCAATCTGGCCAACCTGTTTCGAGATGATGTCGGCAATGTTCCGTAGTGATTGCTTGGTTGGGTACTTGGCCAGATCCCATTGGAAACGGGTGATGTAGGTGATCAGGTCATCTAGTGGAAGGCAAAAACATAAATTCATCATGATTATAATCAAGCTGCTGGAAAACTGGTCAAATATATTCAAGGAAAAGACGATTTTATGAAGAAACAATTTCGGCACACATTTTTAAAGCGTAGGGACTGTCTCAGCTTTGACTCACTTTTGCTAAAAATATAAACTGATCACTTGCTGCCAACTTTCAACTGCTTTCAACGAAAGAAAACGGAAACATAACCAAAGCTGATCAACTGAAGACGAAACAAAATACAAATCGATCAATAAGAGAACAGGAATATGGATTCGCGTGCAACTCAATGGACACATCTATCGGATCAGTACTACAGTTTGTGATGGAAACTACAGAGGATAAGGGAGTTGAGTTTGGGAAATCATGTTTGCATATATTTGCAGAAGAGTCCTGAAAGCAAGAATGTGCATATAGAGAGTTTAGAGCTGGTGGGTGAGACAAAAATGGTGTAACTCAAGGTAGGACCCAAATCGGAACGGTGAGTGCAGAGGTGTATCGTAGTAGAGGAAGAAATAGTTCTAGAAAAAAGTATTCATATATAGTATACAGTGTAACATAACAGAGAAGAAACAGAGAATGTGAACCAGGTGTCTGACCTGGGCTAATCGGACCATACAGGGATGGCATCGCACCATTCCTAACTGATGCACTAGTAGTAGTAGTAGACGTGGTAGTATTGGTCGTAGTAGCGATCGCAGTTGTACCATAAATTTCCTGTTCCATTGTTTCCGGACTGGATCGTCCTTGGCTGCCACAACAACTGCTTACCGGTGAGGACCGGATTGGCAGACTTCCACCAGTTGTACCGCCACATATGTGACTGGATGAGCGGCTCCTAATGGTACACAACGAAATAGGCGAGTTTCGAACGGTTTACAAAGGTTCATCTCGTTATGATTGACAACAAACTCGCAATGAATAAACAACATAAGACACATAACGACTGACGATGGACGAGACTCGTTCGAGCGCGGTGAGATATTCCTACATGAAGGATGAATCTAGTGTTGCCAATCGTTGAGCCACGGTTGTTTGAACAGCTCTTTACAAACACAATGAGTACAACTTTCAATTCAACAATAACACATAATGAATTAATGATTGATTTGAATTTCAGTTCAACACACTGCTAACTGTACAACTTTATACAATTAAAGAAGGACATCAACAATTTTGACTTAGTCAAATAAAACAGTACGGAAAAAAAAATGGATTGAAATGCCAATGATTGCATTGATTAGAGGATTATCCGTCTGAAAAAAATAATATTTTCTGATATTTGCAATTTGAGATTCTACTATATTTCGGGAACATACTAACGTTGCATAATGTTGTCCAAATGTAAACGTATTTTAAGAAAATACGTAACGAATTCCCAATATTATGAGATTTTGTTTAATGTTTGGATTATCTTGATAATTCTTTGAAACTCTTCAAAAATATTTTATAAAATATTCTCAAGAATGGTGTTGGGATCCTTGCATAATTTTCGTATCTTATAATAATCTCCAGAAAACTCTTGGAATTCGTTCTACCATTCTCTTTGAATTTGTAATAATTTCTCTCCATAAGTTTTCTTCAAAATTGTCCTGAAAAATTGCCAGACGGATTGGTGTATCCTACAGAATTTTCTAGGACTTTCTACTCAGAATTATTCCAGAAGCTCCATGCAATTCTTTTAATCATTGCCTTTGATTTCAGCACTGAATTTTCTAGGAACACTCTGCGGTTTTATCTTGGAATACTAACCGGAACTACTTTGAAGCTATACTAAGAATCATCATGAAATTCTCCTTATAATTCGTTTGAAGCTATCTTTACAATGTGATTCCCATGAAATCGTTATATTCTCTGATATATACTCAGCATAACCCCTGCCAGCGGCCAATCTATGCAGAGCATGGGACGATGCGCCTACCGTCTCCCCTCACAATTTGATTCTCATGTAATTCTTTTCATAAATCCTTTGAAAGTCACCTAGGATTTTTGTTTAGAATTCTCTAGGAATTGTCCTCTTAATTACCTTGAATCTCCAAAAATTCGATTCACTCGTGATTCCCTCAACATTCCTTGACATTATCTTCAGAATTCAGTATAAATTTTTCACCGGATTCCTTTAGCTTTTTCCTCTAGATTCATCTGACAATTCCTGTAAAGCTTTTCTTTGAACTTAATTCAGAATTACCTAAGAATTCTGATTTGAAATTATCAAAGGAATCTATTTGTTTACTCTTTTTTTCTTTTCAATTTTCATCTCGGAAACCCTTGAAACTCTACTCTCTTGGTAATTCCCTTAAAATACTCCTCATACGTTTGTTTCGAATCATTCTTAGAATTCCTTTGGCACTATCCTCAGAATTAGATTATTTGGAACTCTTAGATCTATTCTAAAAATGTCATCTTTAGTTTCTCCTTGGAATTCTCCTTTGAATTTCCTTAAAACTCTCCTCAGAATTGCTTTGGATATACCCCCTGAGTCGATTAAATTGGAATTCTCCTCAGAATTCTTTTATAGTTTTCCTTAGAATTGTCATCAGAAGTCACCAGGAATTCTTCTCACAATCCTTAGAAAAATCTTCTCTCAATCATGTTGGAATTTTTGCTCAGAACTGCAATTCAAATTCGAGTCAGAATTCTTTCGGATTTTTTCTTACAATATCCTCTGAAAATTCCCTCCCCTTGGCTAGTTTTTAACCTGGACGTTGGTGGGCGGGCCTAATCTTATGCTTCATAAAGGAGCGTTGGAGACGGTTGGTTTAGGTCCGGCATCGTTGGCTCATGCCGTGACAAAATAGCGTCATGAGCATGCGATGAGGATTACTGAGCTTCCCCTCTCTGATGAACCATTGCATAAGAGAACCAAAGTTCTAGCATGAAGTGATAGTATCACACTTGTTACTCCTTTATTTGAAAGCCGCGTTGTAGTACGCTTACGTATAGGCACTGACGTTGGGTGCGATACTGGCGGGTTTTGCCGCAAATCACTCTTATTTTATTTATTTTTACGCAGATAGATTTATTTGGGTTTGCAAGGGAATTATACTATTGAAATATTTCAGAAAGTGCCCAACGGTGCTCCTTCTATTTGCATGACAAGCTTTCATTGTTGTTTTCATTGAAGCATTACTCAGGGAACAATATTAAACACCACCATGGTATTGTAACTAATCTTATATATGCTTCGTTTTGGTTTGGGATAGGTGTTTGAACTATGGCTCGGGATTTCCACTGTGGGGTGCTTCTATTGTGACATATTCATACGTAATTTTGTGGGGTGGCATAGTGGAAACGTTAGTGTAGTTGGAGCATATACCCTATATAATTTAAAAATCAGCTAGGAAATTATATTCAAAGTGAAGCATTTTAGTCACTTGAAGGTGTCACCTGGGTCGATCTAAGATATAATAAATATAGATCAAAGTCAAAATTACTTGAAACACGAGAATTAGAGATTTCAATTATTTATTAAATTAGACTAATGAGATATCATAATCATCAAACGAACTTAAATAAGAAAATTTAGACAGCCTAATAACATTAAGTAGATTAACAAAAGAGTTAGGATTCGGGGGGTCCGCTTAGGGAGGCAACTAGCCTTTTCATATATTGTCTGTTTATTATGATGGTTGCTTTAAAATATCAATTTGGTATATATGTGAAAGGATGAGTCAGTGGGAGCTGGATTTTCGGTTTCTTTACATTTTGCAACACAAATCTAGTACTATGCGTCATTTCCTCAAAACCCCCCAATAACCGACCTCTTCAATCCCTTCCTTTTCCCATGGCGTTCAAGTGGTCCGCATAGACTATTCAGCCATTACCCTTCCTTTATCCTCGGCTTTGAATTGACTTGCGCTCCCATTGCCCCACCAAACGCTGCAAAATGAAAATGAAAATGAAATATCCTCTGAAAATTTGATGACATTTTCCTCAAAATTTCTAATGTACTATTCATATTAATTCAGTCGAAATTATCCATGAAATTCTGCAATACTGACAACTGATATTCTAATTGGGTTTATCTTAAGATTCAGATGCTTCTTCTCTGGAAATGCATGTCAGCATTCCATTGGAGTTCATGACATAATTTTCTTGAAATTGTGGTCAAAATTTCCCTTAGAATTTTAATTATTTCTATGAAATTATCCTCAGAATTTACTTTCAAATCTGTTTAGAGTTCCTTTGAAATTGTCCAGTAATTTTTTTCCCGAACTTCTCTTTACAATCCCTATGGAAATCTTCTCAGAATTGTCATGCAATTCTACAAATAACTCACTTGGAATTCTTGATTGAATTCACCTGAAGTTTTCGTCACAAGGTCCATGGTAGTCTTTACAGAATTACCTTGAAATTCTCCGGGGCATTCCTAAAGATTTTATTTGCCCTTAAGGTGAAACTCTATGGAAGCCTTAGTGTCAAACTTCAAAAGCACAAATGTCAACTTCAACAAAACATAATTAGAAAATTGCCACTCTCTGTTTGTTGTAGCGCAGCAACCAAGGAGTAGCAATTTCATAATTATATCTTTTGTGGAAGCCGATATTTGTGCTTTTGTATTTTCACGCTAAGGCTTCCTTAGAGTATCACCTTAAAGAACAAACAAATTCGCTCCATAGTTAATAACCGTTATTCTACTTTGTATAGGTATTTGTATGTACATGGTGTCATTGTTTTTGGTGATAAATGAACTAAAAGGAAATTAATCTTTGAAAACTTTTTATCAAACAAATATACAATTTAAGAAGTGTAACAAAGTCGAGAATAATAAGTCTACTAGAACATAATTATTTCTAGCGTTCGGAATCATAAGGCTTACTATAGTGCGACCTAATCAATCTAATTCACAAAATGCTAAGAATGGTGAAGGGAAAGTAAGAATGACACTATGAGTGTGTGGGTAAGTAAATGATAAGCCAGGATGTGAGCAGTGGTAGGGTGAGAAGTAAGTGAGTGAGTATATTAATGCATTACATTTTCCAGAGCAAAGCCGGGGGTAACCAGCTAGTATTTAATTAAAATTACTTAGTCAAGTTATCGAAAGTCACTAGTTATGATTCTGAACGCTAGGTTTATAAATGCTGTATACTTTTGGTCGTGATGAAATTTCATGTACATTACATGTGATGAATTGCAACAATGGCAACGAACAGCTAAAACACACATGGTGCTTACGAATCCACCAGGCACATCGAAAGACTGTAAGCCCTCCAGGAAATATACACAAACAATTTACACATTTATAATTTCCTTATTTTAAGCCAGTGGAGAAGAATTCACAACGAGATATGCAAAATAGAAACAGAACGACAAAGAGGTGTGTGATTCGCAATTCGCTTCAATGGCAGTACCTGGATTTGTGCGAGCTTTTGCGCCTATGAAACCACCATTCGAAGCTGCTTTCGTGATCGTGATCGCGATCGTGTTCCGGTTCTGGGTCCGACGAAAGCGTATGGCAATTGCTACTGTGACTGCGTTGCCTAAGACCAAAAAACGACGGACCGTTTGACGACACTGACTGTTGATGCTGTTGCTGTGGTGGGCAGTCTAAGCCAGTGACTTCAACGATCACCGGAGAATCAAGCGCCGAGCCCGATGTGACGCATACAAATGCAGACGAATCGGTATCTCGTTCTGAACCGGACACCGACAAATTGGTATGTTGGGAACAATAAGAGCAGGATGAGTTGGTACCATGGCTGCAGGCGTCCGTACATGACCGCCGTTGTAGCATCGCTTGCTGGTGTGAGGACGACGATGTGGTAGAACAGATCTCTCCGGGATCATTCGGAGGAGATTCGTCGGGAGGACCGGGACCTTTGTGTTTGTTTCGTGATTGGGGTTATATATGATTTGCTTGTAATGCACTCATCAGCTTAATGCTATGCCTAAGCAATCTGATGGAACTGTGTGGAGCTTACGCAAGATGAAAATATGTCGTACAGAACTTGGGAAATGTTCAAGGATGGAAAAAAGTGCAAAATATTCAGGATTCATGCAATAATTAAAATCAGAAATCAGATTCCTTTTAGACTTCGTCATGCTTTTGCAAATAAACTAAATTCAAAATGAACAAGTATTTTCAAATTAAAAGAAAAGAAGATTATTTAGCAAGTTCAAACTTAACAGCAGTATCATCTTATACCAATTGTTGTAAAGAACCATTAAATGAATTTTATAAAAAGCAAATAATCAGTTAAAAAATAATGAAACAAGGAATGCAGCAGTTATGAAAGTTTGGTGCGATCGAAATTCCTCTCCTATTCGCTAGACTAGAAGGATGATCGTTCTGTCAGCTCTCAACTTTCAATCTTTCCGTCAGAAAACGCATGATGGCAATAAGATATGATTTCAAACATCGAATAGAAAGCCAATCATTGACGCATACTTACTGTTGTTTGCCTGCAGATTTTCATATAGTTTATCCCGCTGATCTTCGAGAACGTCCCCTAGGTAGGCGGCAATTTTGCGTGTCGACTGCTCTACGTAGGCATCGAGTTTGCCCAAGTCGTCGGACAAACCGACCAGCTGGTCCAGTGTACCAACCTAAAGTGTTAGAGGAAATAACCAGTATGAGACATTGCAATACAAAGGATGTTCTTAATGATCAGCCGCCATACCTTCAAATCCGGAATGTGGAACTTGAAGTTCTCGCAGAGGTTGTTCTGCTTGTTGGTTAGATTGTTCATCGTTTCCCAGGTTTGCTGACAGGTCTTGTCACCCGGTGCGGATATAAGCCAGTACTCGGACATTTTCGGTTGGTGGTTGTACGGCGAAACTGTTTCAAAATATCGTGCGGCGGGCTGTGGCTGTTTTCAGAAACAGTTACCTAGAAATGAGATTTAAAATTAGCATTCAGTGGAGTCGGAGATGAAAATGGAAAAGCAGCTTTTCACTTTGAAAACCAGAATTTACCAAGGTGACTAATGTTAATAAGTATGATATTATTTCTTATAAATGTTAACAGGAGCCACGCTTACGGATTGTGAAAACTCTAGAAGTCAACAGGCAATCAGAATGCATGTATGTCAAAGTTGTTTTTCTAATTATATGTAAGCATATATACCTTCAAACAAATCAAATATAATGCAAAAAATACAGCTTATACCCACAAAAGTTGGTGGCAATTTGAGATAAATATGTAGTACTTTACGATTATATCTGTACATTGATACGACTTCTGGTTGTCTGGATGATACTCACTGACTGAGGACAAATGATCGAAACTATTGTCGTCACAGCTGAAAACTGGAAAAACCCACTAGCGAAAATCGGGTTTACCTTCGTTCCATACGTTATACATAGTGTGGGTTTTTATAGTTTTAACATGTAACGGGTTAATTGAGCAAAATTTGGTGGACGGCACGTCGTCAGAATGCAGGACGACGACGCAGTGAAAATGGTTCTCGAAAGCGACCCAACAGGAACAAGAAAAAGAGGCGCCCTTCGGACCCTTCGCAAACTATGAGGCTGGCGACGTGTGGCCATGGACCGAGTAGAGCGGAGACGACTTATTCGGATAGCATAGGACAACAAGCCCTTAACCTGATTGGTAAGGTAAATAAGGGTTAATTGAGCTAAAATTTGAACACAAGCTCAAAATACATTACAATTGTATCTGAAATTATTAACTTCGATCAAAAAGTCACTATTAAGGATCCGGATCTAACGCGTTGCAGCAAAGTGACAGCTAAATGTATTGTCTAACTGTCAAAATTTACGTTAACGCAACGCAAAAGGATCTAATGTGGGAATCCTTTTAGTGTAATCGAGTATCAAGTCGAGTATGTAATTGTTACCATTCATCGGTGCATACGATTTGTCAAATCTCAGTAGCCCAAATGACGCAGTAGGTCTCATTTTTTATTCGTTTTGTTTTTATAAAAGTCATGATTTCCTGATATGCATTAGACCTAATTGAGAATCCGTAGGCCGAGTTTGGGGTCAAGAAGCAGTGTTAGATTTTTAAAAATATTTCAACAATTTATTTCTCTTTAGCTAGTCTTACGGTATGTACGGAAAGGTAAACAAATTCAGTAGTCATCTGCACAAAAACCTTCTGTTTTGTGAAAAAAATATACTCAAAAATAGAGGGAAAGGCGTGTTGTGCTTAGTAGTACGCAAAGTAATGACACCATCGAACCAGAGGCGTCGCGTGCCTCATTTGTTCACCTGTGCACCAAGCTTTGTTCGTTATAGTTTACCCCCCACATGTTACTTTTTGTTTTATTTTTCAATGCTCCATGAATTCGAGGGACATATTCTCCATCGCTATATTAATCACTACCTAACGTAACATTTGAAGATCCTATCATTTTGTATAAACAAAACAAGTATGGCCCTTTTCACACTAACCGAAGTAGCAGGAATTGCAAAACTTAACTAATTCCAGCTGAACATTGCATTAGGTTCTAAGTAATATTGATCGATTCTCTTCGTCGACTTTCTATTTCGTTAATAACTTGAGCACATAACCATATCTTGTTGTGTTTGTCGTTTTAGATGCTAGATAAAAGCTTATTTTATCGATCTGTGTGCTGAAATACTTGGGAATGTATTTACATATCCGTGGAGATACAAATAGAATGTCGACGAAGAGAATCTGTCAATCTTACTTAGGACCTAATGCAATGTTCAGCTTGAATTCTCGTTTTTATCAAAAGGCTAACTCTTTCGACTGAAGTTTAATAAAGAATATCCGTCAAACACTTCCCAAAACATTTTTTGATACAAAACAAAATTCATAGTCCCCTGGGTAGCGAACTTGAATTAATCAACTCTTTATTCATCAGAACATCACTATCAGAATGAACCAGGGGAAGCTCATAAGTTTTGACAGGCGCACCGGCGCAACTATCGGTAATTGAGAGATTCACAACTTACAAGAGAGTGAGAGCCGGCTTTTGCGCTCTCTTTCTCCATTACTCTCTTTGTATGCAATCAGATATCCGAGTGCACAGCGAGAAACGCACACTGTGGGCACCCATACATCACAAATGTTCTTCTAATTTAAACTCACACATTCAAACCGGTCTGCAAGTATGATAACTCTACAGCAAACCCCACACGCATCAATATATTGAAGCGAAGGGGAATTATTGACAATAATATTGATTATGTGAATTCAGAAATATTGTCAATCTAAATATATTGACGTCAATATAGAATGTATTGACAATACGATTATTGTCAATATAAGCAATCGTGTAGGGTCCACTTAAAGCGTACCAGACTGCTGTTTCCGTGTTGCTCCCGTTTGACGCGTGACTGCTGAAAGCTTGAATTACAACCAGTGGTGCAAACCGCCATGTATTGTGGAAAATTTGTGGTATGTTTCAAGAGATGGTAGAAGGTCTGCTTGGCTTACATCAGGCCTTTGGCCCAGGCTTCCAAAAAGTACAGCCTCCTCGCGACAGTTGGTTTATACCTGAATTGACTGTTGCTTTGTGTGCTTTACTACCGCTTGCTACCGTACGTTCAGATCTGAATTCGAAGTGTATTGGCAACAGCGCACGCACCAACGAATGAAAGCCGTATTAGAACAGTCGCATCTATACCCGCTTTGCTAAAATCATCGTGCTTGGAACGTAGTGAATCGAATGGGCTGTATTTATACATTTCTTTATGACCAGCTTCTCAATGTTTCTGTCGTCATAACAGCCTTCACAAACCGACGACATCCCTCAGCTTACCCAAGTGGCTGTCACGAAAAGGCTGTCACGAGACATTATATACAATTGATATACGGCAGTAGAGTATGGAAGAAACCCAGAAGAATGATCCCGAACAGATATGTCGGCCCGATGTCGGATCAATGTAAGGTCAATTTACGGTCGACGTCGGCCAAATGTCGGGTCGATGTCGGGTCAATTATGTGTTAATGTCGGGTCAATGTCGGGCCAACATCGGGTTGGGGTTTGGTAGGCTTATATTTTTCGGGTAGGCTTATATTTTTCGCCGGAGACCGTGCGTTTTTAAAAAAAATATCGGATGAAAACTTTGCAATGGGCAGCACGAACGTGATAGCAACCGAACGAGCTCCGGCGCCACACTGGTAGTGTAGTAGCAGTCTTACGACATACAAAAAAAATTTCAAAGCCAGCAGCAACGAATCGGCAGTTTGACGGACTGCTTGTTTTATGTACGAGGAATGTTACGAATGACCATCCGAGGCTGTCATAGCCGAACGAACAAAATACATGACTAAGAACGAGCTGTCGTGTACTGCACAAGACGGCAACGTTGCATGTCGTATAACAGCTTCACTGTGGGCTGTCGCTTATAGCTCAATCTCAAGGCTGTCGTAGGAAAAAGAAAGCGACAGCCGTTGGAATACTGTCATGAGGTGGTACTTTTGGTATGCCTGCTTTGGCCATTCACAAACTTGCCACCCGCCACCCAAAAGAGCTCGCTTTTAGGTGCACTAGGGATTAGGCAGACCATCCCAACTGAATTTAACCCTTTTTGTGGTCTGGTGTAAAGAAGTACATCTTTAATGTGACCATAAAATCTATAAAAATCTAAACGCATTTTTTTAATTGTTTGCACCTGTGTCGTGCACAGGTTGCACATGTGGACGCGACGCCACTGCATCGAACAGATGAGACAATCGCCAATCTGTCGGTAACATTGATTGTAAATATTTAAAATAAATCAACGATGGAAATTAAAAGTGGCAATTACGTTATATCGAGGTATGCATGTAATCAATAGGCAAAGCAAGAATGCTCCATGATATTAAACGTTAGTTAAAATACAACATGTTTTAGTTTACTTTTATAATCCGACTAGGGTAAGTGTGGTTTCCATATTTTGTTCTTTCTTTACATAATTTATTTCAACACAACGTTAGAACGTATATTTTGCCATAAATCTACGTAAATAAAATTTAATGCAAACTTGAGCTACTTA